CCATTTTAAAATGCTAAATGCACCCACAGTATTCACAGGGGGTAGGACTGGATAAACAGAGAACTTCAGTAATTGAGTTGTATTGGGCTGACACCTTTGACAGAAAGCTTACTCAGTTTTTTAAAAGTACACAGACTCGCTTTAAAAAGTACACAGCAACTCAGGCAAATGGTCTACAGTGCACTAAGAAATCTTTGTGTAGGTCATAGCTAGTAGAGAATAGCCTTTGTCGTCCTGGTCCATTTTACAGCTAGTTTAATATATGCATTAAACATGTCAGTCTTCTTTGTAAACTGCATTTCATTCTAAGGTGGTATATGGAGATTTATGTTACTTTTTTAAAAAGAAAAACTGTATTTCATGCATTTTTATCATCTCTTTTTACTCAGGGACCTCAAGGATCACAAGGCCATCCAGGACCACCTGTAAGTGGATATATACATTATTTTAAAGTTTGCATAACTGCATAATTGTATGACCCACTCTTATATGGTGTTCCCCTCTCTCCTACCTTTTAGGGTCCACCAGGGCCACCTGGTCCAAGAGTAAGTTGGCTATGTTTTCTATGATGGTTTCAGCATTGAATACTAAAAGAGTTGGGGCACTATCCTCTAGAATTTTTGTAGTCACTATTAAGAAGGGGTGGTGGTATTAGTTTGTTGTTGTTGTTGTAAGATTTATATACCGTCCTTCATTAAAAGATCTCAGGGTGGTTGACAAGATAAAAATACAGATAAAACACAAATAAATAGTTTTTTTTAAAAAAACAACAACAATAGCCCCCCCTCCCACAAACACATTTAAAAGGCTGTAGAATATTAATCACCCAAAGGCCTGGTACTGAAAATGCCAGACAAACTTTCCCTGGGGAGAGGGATGTATTTCGTGTTCTCGTTTTTGTGTTTTTATGTTGCAAACTGCCTTGTGATCTTCGGATGAAGGGCTGTATACAAATTTAATGAATGGGAGGTAGACAAGAGTAACCATGCCCAGCCGCCATCCCTTTCAATGGAACGTGCCCAGGAGGAGATTCTGGAGGACTCTGCCCACTGAGCAGGGGCAATGCAGTGTAGCTGGCAGTTTGAATCCCCACAACAAAGTGAGCTCCTGTTTCTCTGCCCCAGCTCCTGCCAACCTAGCAGTTCAAAAGCACGCCAGTGTGAGTAGATAAATAGGTACCGCTGCGGCGGGGAGGTAAACGGCGTTTCTGTGCGCTCTGGTTTCCGTCGCGGTGTTCCATTGTGCCAGAAGTGGTTTAGTCATGCTGGCCACATGACCCGGAAAGCTGTCTGTGGACAAACGCCAGCTCCCTCGGCCTGAAAGCAGAAATGAACGCCACAACCCCATAGTCGCCTTTGACTGGACTTAACCATCCAGGGGTCCTTTACCTTTTTTTTACCTTTCTCCTCCTAGGCATGTTTACTTTCATGGGGCTGCATTTAGGATTGCAGCCTCGAGCTGCGTCAGGGCTTAGAAAGGTTTGCCTTTCACTTGGTTCATGTTCTGTGTATAAGGTATATATTGAGTCTTTTTAAAATATTACACATCATGCTGTTCCTAGGGATCCTTCCTAAAAGGTGGTATCTAACTAAGCCATGCTAAGGATAGATCCATTGAAGCCAATGGATTTAAGTGAATCATGGCTGACTTAAGTCCATTGCATCTACTCCGAGTATTGCGGAAGTGTGTCCACCCAAAGTATTTCATGCTTTTAAAAAAAAACCTTCTACCTTTTTTGCCACGTTTTGCTCTTTTTAACCAGTATCCACCAGTCCTCAGTCACAACTTCACCACAAGCCTTAATGTGTGATTTATGGCAGTTCCCTGCATTGCAAAGCGCAAACCAGTACCTTGAAGCATAGAAATGGCAATTGTAGGAATTGCAAGCAAGCCTGGAAGATTATAGTAAAATTAGCACACTCTCTGCACTCCCTCCCCCAAAGAGCCATCTATTTTTTAATAATATTTTTAAATTAGTTTTCAATTACAGTCAATTGATAGCCTCATTATAACAATTTCTAATACAATTATTAATACCAATCGTTCAAATACCAAATTATATAATTTAGATAAAGTGGCATGCTAGATTTGCTGGTTTGATGATTTTCTTTATTCCTGCATTCCAAAATCTTTTTCATTTGAATTGCATTGCGGTCATAATAATAATCCCTTTTACAACAACAGCAATATTAATACTCTTTGGCAATAAGTATTTTAATTATGCAGCAGGAGCCAAAGAATGTGCATAATTAATTTCTGATGTTCTGATGGTTTGTTTGTTATGCTGCTGATATTAAAATGTTTGATTATATACAGAAGCAGATTGACATCAGTGTTGCTATTCAAGCCTTGATTGATTCCAATACTGCATTACAGATGGAGGTAAAAATATTTGCATGTTTAGCTTGTCACATGTATACATGTTATAAAAGTCGCTTCACTGATAAGCTGTATGTCTTCACAAATATTTAATTCACCACACATTTACAAATATCATACTACTTGGCAGGGGCGGGAATAATGAGGGGGAAACTGTACATATAAACACCGCAGGATATAGAGAATAACTTTTGCAGCTGAGTCTTTAAGACCTCTGGCCTAAATGCTCAGAACGTTAGGCAATAGCGGTCTGCTTAATTGGAAACACATTATATGAATGAAGTATTGTGTTTTTTGTGAGGCTGCAACTTGAGATATGCACACAGCGCAAAGCATAATTTATAAAATGTACTGATGGCTTCCCTTCGGACCTTACCACTCCATCAGAACTTGTTTCGTAGCTGCCGTTCATGTAATAAATGTGCTTGTGGGGTCAGTCATCGTTGTAGGGGGCTGAAATGATGTTCTTCTGCAGAGAGTTCCCAATTTGTCAGAAATCAGACCACAAGGTTCGGTTACTGGGAAACGCTGTTTTTCCAAGCAGGCCCACACCATTACGATCGCTGTGTGAAATAGTTACATAAATATCTCAACCCCTGTGCCTATGTCATTCCTGAGGCATTTGATGATTTTTTTAAAAGTTGTTTTTTTTTTAATTCAACCTACTTTAAGGGACAAAGCACCCATCTAACCTTTGAAGAAGTGGTGGTTTCTTTCCTTTCTTCATTTCACAATTCTTATTGCTCTCTCTAGGATAGGAATGCAAATCTGCATTATTAATGTTATTATTCTTTTCCTTGAAAGGGAAAGCAGTATTCCTATTTACTTCAGCAGCAGCAGCATCCAGTCTCTTGTTTCCTTCCATGCGCCATTATGTATGGGAAGGATCTCATTCTATTGCCTTAGAATAGTGATTAGCTATTTTGTCTTTCAAAGACAAAAATGTCATTGGGGTATACTTGTTCGAATTTTGGGGGGTTAGCACGTGTAGATTTTCTGCATATGTGAATTGCTTTCACTTAAAAAATTAAATTCCCTCTTTATTACGTATCTTTTACCTCAGTGTAACTTTCAGTATCTCTCGTGAATATGTTGCCCTTTCAGTTGAAAATCCAGCTTTATGATCCAGTTTGCCATTTGGCCATGTCTCCGTACTAAGGCATTTTTTTGGTGATGCCATAAAATGTCAAATTTTCTTGTTTTTTTCTCCTTGGCAGAGCTACCAAAACACTGAAGTAACATTACTGGATCACAGTGCCGAGATATTCAAAACATTACATTACCTTAGCAATTTACTGCACAGTATTAAGAACCCTCTGGGAACTCGAGATAACCCAGCACGTATCTGCAGGGATTTGCTTAACTGTGAACGTAAGGTGTCTGATGGTAAGTCACCCCCCATTGTTATTAAGTGCTCTGAAATGAATCCTAATCATATCTGTAGCGACCGTACACAATCTACAGAGCATTTGGTTTTGGGTTTAATTTAGCTATCTGGGCATTTTTGGCCAGTTTGAGGTACTGTTTCTAGTTTGGATGGTGACTATGGTTGGAGAGCCAGTGTGGTGTAGTGGTTAAGAGCGGTGGACTCATAATCTGGTGAACTGGGTTTGATTCCCCGCTCCTCCACATGCAGCTGCTGGGTGACCTTTGGCTAGTCACACTTCTCTGAAGTCTCTCAGCCTCACTCACCTCACAGAGTGTTTGCAGGGGGCGGGGGGAGATTGTTAGCCGCTTTGAGACTCCTTAGGGTAGTGATAAAGCTGGATATCAAATCCAAACTCCTCCTCCTCTTCTTCTTCTTCTTCTTCTTCTTCTTCTTCTTCTTCTTCTCCTTCTTCACTGGCTCTGCAGCATGGCTCTCACACTCCTTGAATGTTCTCTTGAGTCTCCTATCATTGCTGTAGGATTTGGCTAGCATAAACATATCACCAAGAGAAAAGTTACTCTCGCTACTCTCACAAGATGATTGTACAACCCTTTGGCTGTTGTTACTGTGGAGCCAATTTTAAAAAGGAGTAAAAAGTGTAAAACACTATGTTACACCTTTTCCCACTTCTGGATTTCTCTGTTGAACATATTTGAGCCTAAACACGCACCTATTTCCCCCCCCCCCTCCTTCTCCATCTTGGAAACTGGAAACATAAGGCTGGAAAATTCTTTTCTAATTTTTCTGCCTTCCCCAATTGATAGGAAAATACTGGATTGATCCGAATATTGGATGTCCTTCTGATGCCATTGAGGTTTTCTGCAACTTCAGCGCTGGTGGCCAGACATGCTTATCACCTGTCTCTGTAACCAAGGTATATTGTTCTCTTCTGAAAGGCCCACATTACAGTCTTCTGGATTCTACTTATGCCTTTTTTTAATGTAACCTCACCGTATGCGCCTAAGAACAGGAAAATACCCTGATAGTCTTTGTTAGCACTGGATTAGATAGCTTTCTGAAAATCAGTAAACTTCAACTCCACATTAGGGCCAATGAATATATGCAATATATACATAGGAAGCTGCTGTGCAGAGTCAGACCATTGGTTCCGCTTGCTCAATATCATTATGGTCTGCACTGACTGGCAGGCAGCTTTCCAGGGGTTCAGGCAGTACGTCTCCCTCACCCCTATTGAGAGATGCTAGGAATTGAACTTGGGCTCTTCTGCATTCAAGGCAGATGCTGTACGACTGAGCTACAGCCCATCCCCAAAAGAGGGTGCTTTGCAGCTGAGAAGGGGCAGGAGAAATGTGTGCTTAACCTTCCCCCATCAGCTGCTTTTCTCCATGCAGGGTTGCAGGCTCATGTTTGCAAGATAAATCAGGTTCAGAACCCTAGCAAAGGGAGGAGGGAGAAGCTGGTGGGGCATAACCTTTGCAATCAGCAGTGAACTCTTAGGCTAATGTTATATGTAGCTGCAGTGAAATGTTAGTTCAGTCATGAATTACAGGCTTGTTCCTTAGGCTGGATGTCCAAAAATAAAAGAAAAAATAGGTATTTCTGAGTGACTGCATGATAGTAAGCTCCACTTACTGTCGTCTCCAACAGTCGTAACATTGAAATGCACGTGGTTAATTTGAGTTCTCAAGTTACACAGAAGACAAAACTCTTTACTTGCTGATAAAATGACAGTTATCACTCAGTAATTTCTGTTGTTCGATGTGGCACTGTACCCTGGCTCCCAGAACGTTTGGTGGATTTAATGGAAAATTTGAAAAAAACAAGAACAGGAGTGTCTTAAAATGCTGTTACACCCTGGGACATAGACTAATGTAAAAGACCATGTTGTACACAGCTGAAGAAACATTGGAAAACACTAGCAAAGTGTCATACGGGAGTGACATATGGAAGAGCAGGCATTGCTTCAAAGAATGTCGTCTTCTTTTCCCCCCATTAACATTATGAACTGCACACTGTCATCTTCCTACTCATATTTATGTAGTGCAAGTTTTCTGTAAGGAGGACATATTTCTGTGGAGAGCGGTATGCATGTTTTGTCTAAATAGTTTACATTAGCAGATTAAATGTCAATAGTTTGTTATACCAGTGGAAAGAAATGTTTATGAAGCCTTTGTAAAGGTATGTCTAAATTGCATGGGATCACTGTGCTTTTGTGGCTATAAAGTGCAATCTGACTTTCCGCACTAACGTGTGTTTTTGTTAAAACAGTTGGAGTTTGGCACTGGGAAAGTGCAGATGAACTTCCTTCATTTACTGAGTTCAGAAGCAATCCATACCATCACAGTCCACTGCCTAAACACCCCGGTGTGGGGAACCAATGACCTACGTGCTCAGAGGCCCTCCGTCAGCTTCAAAGGATGGAATGGCCAAATGTTTGAAGCAAATGCTCCGCTTGAACCAAAAGTGCTTCTAGATGAATGCATGGTAAGCCATCTGCTTGCATTGTTAAAATTTGCAGTGAAAGTAGTGATTAGTTTGAATTAATAGAGATGAGAGTTGAAATTCTGGACATTTACTTTACCCACTACTGTTAACATTTAAGATTTTACTTCAGTGATTCTTATTTCTTAAGGATACTAACACAGAGTTGCTAGCCTTGGTGTTCTTAATTACTCACTGGGCAGGTTACAACATTTCTATCAAACTGTATTTAGAGGCCCCTGCTTGGGAGAAAGCAATAGTGCTTCACTGAATGATAAGGAGGGATGTGGACGCCGTGAGCCCTTCTGCAACAGTGCACAAGTGCCACAAATCCCTCTGTCTGCACTACTGGTACCCATGCCAAAGATGGGTCACCCATTGTCAGGGAACTGACATCGGAGCCAGAGGCGGAGGCTAGGCTCTCAAGCGATGCTGGAGAAGGGCCCAGCAGGCGGAGAGGCGGCTCACCAGCTGGGGAAGGAAATCAGCGTAACACCAGGGATAAAGGGGGGCAGATGGGGGAATCGGCGAGGGGGCTCCAGGACTCCTCGCCGGAGATCAGCGAGGAGAGCACGGGTCCTCCGCTACCCACGCCCTCCCTGCGCAGAAGACTTCCGCGCAGGGAGAGGAGGAGGAGACTTGGAGTCAAACAACTTTTATGCTGGAAAAGGTTTAAGAAACGCCCACTGACGGATTCTGCTAGCGACTGAACAGCCACGAAGTGTAGGGCTGTCCAGACAGAAAAGGTTTAACAAGGCAACCTAGCCAGGAGTGGCACCAACTTGCGCACGAGCAACCCCTACATTTATGACACCCATGTCCTAAACAAGAGTTTTCCAAACTTGGGTCTTCAGCTGTTTTTGGACTACAGTTCTCATCATCCTTGACCACTAGTTCTGTTCGCTAGGGATGATAGGAGTTGTAGTCCAAAAACAGTTGGGAGACTCAAGTTTGGGAAACAACTGTCCTAAACGAATGACAGAACTCAAAAAGTCAGAATGTTTCGGACTATTTGATGAAAACTTGAAAGAGCTCCTTTCCCCTCCCAATCGCTATTGAATTGCCTCTGGTTTATGAACAAGCTGTTGCAATCCAAATACTTCATGTTTTTTTATTTGAGAAAGCCAAGAAGTATCCATTTACACATGATCTGGTCTTGTCATCATTTGCTCTCCCTGACCTCAAAGAGCAGAATAAATGTCAGCATGAGAAGCCCTTAAAGAACTGGAAGCTGTGCAAAGTAGGTGCTAAAATGCTATCAAATCAGCATTTTCCATTTGGTTAGTTTTCTAGCTCTTTCCACTCACAGCTATTAAACATATTATGTACTATATTTATATCCTACCCTTCCGCCAAACAGCTCAGGTTAGTCTACACAAGGACATCCCATTTTATTCTCATAATAGTCCTGTGAGGTGGGATTGAATGATAATGTCTTAGTCCAGTGTCAATAAATTTAGTAAGCACAAAGGAATCTGAAAACAGATTTCCGCAGTTCCCTAAACTATCCACTAAAACACACTGGCTCTTTATGAAACTGTGGTGAATGTAGGCTAGAAATATATGATAAAGGTAGTGCTGTGAAGTTACTGAAAAGTGCAGTTTTTCTGTGAGATTCTCTGAGATCTTTATCTCTTTCTGCAGAAAAGAGATTCCTACAGAATCTCACAGATGCCTGTCTGCAGGGACTTCACTTTTCAATGGCTTCCACTGGGCTCACATCTTTGAGTGACTGGGCAAAAAGAAAAATTGCAAACTTCCAAAGCCCTCTTCAACCCAAGACACTGTTGTTGTTGTTTTGATATGTTTATAGATTGCACAAAGTTTTGATTCAAACATTATCAATCCTGAAGTGTGTACTAAGATGTAGCTTTTAATTTATTCATAACCTTTTTTTTAAAGAGCATTTTTAGAACTGAGCATGTTACACAAAAAGCTCACTTTCCAAATCCTTCCTGGATTTTCTCCATGGTGCTGTTTTCCACACATTAAGAAAGCATAAAACAGGGGTCAGCAAACTTTTTCAGCAGGGGGCCGGTCCACTGTCCCTCAGACCTTGTGGGGGGGGGGGGTGGACTATATTTTGAAGAAGAAGAAAATGAACAAATTTGTATGCCCCACAAATAACCCAGAGATGCATTTTAAATAAACGCACACATTCAACTCATGTAAAAGCATCAGACAGGCCCCCAAAATAACCCAGAGATGCATTTAAAATAAAAGGACACATTCTAGTAATGTAAAAACACTCTGATTCCCGAACCATCCACAGGCCGGATTTAGAAAGTGATTGGGCCGGATCCGGCCCCCCGGGCCTTAGTTTGCCTACCCATGGCATAAAATAATGTACCAAATCCTGAACACATTAATATACAAGACCAAGTGTAATGGATAAATAATTGTCCTTTGTTATTGTTTTTCTCTCAAAGGCCTAGAAAATATTAAAATAAAAAAACAGCATAGGGGATGGTTGTTAATGTGTGTTAATTAACACTCTTGTTATATGCATTGCAGATTCAAGATGGCAGCTGGCATAAAACCCAGTTCCTTTTTCACACTCAAGACACCACTCAGCTTCCAGTTGTTCAAGTGCAGAAATTTCCTCATCTCAAACAAGGACAACAGCGTTACATAGAAAGTGGCCCGGTGTGTTTTCTCTAGACTTCTGAATGGAGTGGAGTTTCTCACATGGAATTGCTGCAAGTAGTGGTTTTTTAAAAAAAAAAACTGCAGAAGAAATATAAAGAAAAATGTTGGTGCTTTCTAAATGAATCTCAGGAAGAAAAAGACTTCCTCCTAAGAAGGAGATATTGCTCTTAAATAAAGAAGAAGAGAGAGACCTTGACAACCTTAATAAAGTATTTAATTTTCCATTGGTGCTTTTTATGTTATTCGCTGGAACTGAAAACACTACATATATCTGGAAATTCTTCAGAAAACCCAGTGTTTTTTAACCTTCGTAACAGCATTGTCCCGGGACACCTTAAGGAAAGATAGAGGCATGCAGTGCTAGGAGCAACTCTGGTTAACGCTCCCAAATGTGCAATAGCTTGTATTATAATTGTATGACAATGAGTTATGCCACCGTAAAACAAATGGTTCCCTTAAACACTTAAGTTGTATTACAGTCCTTTGTGGACACAGACATCTTAACAGATGATACACTACCTCTTATGTGTTTCCTGTTTGTGTTGCCTGGTGCTCTCTGTACAACTCAAAAGTCTTTGTGGCCTTGGTCAAGATTATTTGGATCATTTTTTTATTACTTTTTTTTTAGACTGTATGTGCTGGTTGCATTCATTGTAAAATTGTGTCTTTAAAAAAATATTTGGTCACATACTTCATTATGAGTGAAAACATTATTTATGTGAAAACCTTGTTTAAAATGTTTAAAATGTCTGTAGACATGGAAATGGTACATGAGGCAGAACAGAATCTGGTGCTTATAAGAAGAACAGGATTTTGTAGTTGTAGGACGACTACACACAGTAGTCTTTTAAGAAGTTTTTGGACTGCAGTTAAAGATTTTATCTATCAAAGGCCATCTACAATGATGTATTGTGTAAATATTTTGTAACTTGTTGAAAATGTTAATACAGCATATATTTAAATGGCTGCTATTAAATTATAATAATCTTAATTACTTCAGCCTCAGGGGCATTCTATCCCAGTAATATTATACTGTTTCACATATATATTTATTTCAGCCCAAATATTTTGCGGCTCAAGACCGCAATACCTCAAGGACCACCTCTTCCGATATGAACCGACCCAGACTTTGTGGTCATCATCTGAGGCCCCCCTTCGTGTGCCGCCTCCTCGAGAGGTCCAGAGGGTGGCAACACGAGAATGGGCCTTCTCTGCAGTGACTCCCCGTCTGGGGAATGCTCTCCCCAGAGAAGATCACCAGGCGCCTTCATTATACACCTTTACACGCCAGGCAAAAATGTTCCTTTTTAACCAGGCCTTTGGGTGATCTGATTTACATCCTATGCCCTTTTTTAAATATTTTTTTTGGGGGGGGAGACTGTTGGGTTGTTGTTTTTATATTTATTAGGTATTTTGTGGTTTTATATCTTCATTTTATTCTGTGAACCACCCTGAGACCCCCGGGTATAGGGTGGTATATAAATTCTAATCATAATCATAATATATTTTATCCACCAGACTGTCAGAAACAGTCTAGCAACTTACCCTTTAAAAGTTCCTTTCTGTTGTCAACAAGGTTTAATCCAATATTATCTGCACCTCCTTGTATTTGGGCAGGGAAAGTAGTTGTTTTTAAACAGTCTATCAGTTCCAGTCCTTCCCTCTGGAGCAAAGAGAACAAGTCTGTGCCATCTTTTGCATAATAGGCTTATGCAAGCCTTCTCCAGGCTTAAATGTACCATTCTCTTTCAACCATTCCTCATAGATCTTACTTTATTGACTACTCACCATCTGGTTTTTCTCCACTAGGTGCACACATTTGTCAATTACCTTCTTAAAAATCTCAACATGACCATTAAAACCTGATGGATGCTTTTTGGACAGGCATTAAACAATTTATGCAGTTCTTCCAGATTACAAGATGTCCTGCCCTGCAACTGTTAGATCCTATGAAGTATAAGATTTGATGTCTAGTTTCATGAATCAGAATGGTAAAACTTACGAAGCATATACGAGTATGCCCACCAGCAGCAGAAAGCCTTTGCTTGGTGTTCTGTAAGCTTGTCAACTCATTAATGTAGCCCTACTCCCATAGCTTCAATTGTAAGATCTTACATCTATAAAAGGAGATGTAAAGGTTTGGCTACAGAAAAAGTCATACACATAGGGCTTTGTGGCTTAAATGTTCAGAAGCAAAAAAAAAACAACCCACAGATGTTTAAAATCATTCTTATTTGTTGTGATTTGAGTGGTAAGGATGGAGTTTGGGACTTGGTTCATATTTTTTTATGCATCTGGATCTGAAAATACAGCTACTACATTTGTTTAAAGAAATCTACACCCTTCCTGGATTTAATGCTTCATCCATTGGTTAGTAACATCATTATTGCAGATGTTTCTGCTAGGAAATGTACCAGGGTTAGGAAGCAAACAAGTAAAGTGTCACTGTTTCACAGATCCACCCAAACCAACGCCTCATAAATTTGTCAGTTGCTGTCCAAAAAAAGAGAGGATTGCATTGTAAACAACTCTAGGGTCAAGTCTGTTACTTGAGAGTCTCATCAAAGGGATCATTCTAGCGTAAAATGACTTGGAAAATGTAGTTTGCTTATACTGCATTGTAATTTCTATCTCCTGAAGAGTTTAAGGATTTCCACTGAAGTGCTTAGTGCTGTGTTTCAACAGATCCTGAAAATTTACTACTACATTATATATGTACAGTGGTACCTTGGTTTAAGAACAGTCCTGTTTACGAACGATTTGGTTTACGAACTCTGCAAAACCAGAAATAGTGTCCTGACTTGCGAACTTTACCTCGGTCTAAGAACAGAATCCAAACAGTGGAAGGGCACTGGCGGCAGGAGGCCTCAGTGCAGAGTGCCTTTCCTGGGCTTTTTTTAATTTCTGAGACTAGAAGGGTGTCTGTGGCAGAGGAGGTGGCTTATAAATTCTAGACAGTGGCTGCCATCTTGTGCTATATGTTAGGAACCATCCTGGGTATAATGAGAAAGCAGAAAAAGAAAAGAGGGGTTTCCTTTCATATCCTAAGCTTCTCCAGGTACTCTGCACATTTGTATGCGTAGATGTGTGAGTGTATACATGGTGGAAGCATCAGGAATATTAAAAACACATGTACGCACATAGTCACCCCTTGATTCGCCTAGAAACAATTGTTTTTTATGATTGTAGGATGTGTTTTTAGGATTTTTGAGAGTAGATCTGGAAGAAGCTACAGCAAATTAATACAACCCTATACTTGTTTGCTCAGAAATAAGTCCCAGTATCTTCAACAGGGCTTATTCACTAGAAAGAGCATTTAGGCTTGCAGCCCAGGACAGGTTATTCAGAATATACTGGGAGCACTACTCAGAGAGATTGTTGTCTCAAAACAATTTTGTGTAGCTAGCAACCCTTCCTTCTTTCAGGCTGCAAAGGACATCTCAGATATCTTACATAGCCAAGTTAGGGTTACCACTTATAAGGAACAGTCCCAAGTGTACACTTATGGTGAGGAGTTCAGAATATGTCTCCCTGAAGGCCACAGCTCATCTGTTACACCTTTACAAGGGGTTTGCCCCTTTAATCTCTACATTATTTCCCAGACTGGAATTGTGTAACACGTGAAGCAGCCTTAGCAGGTGTGGGTTATAGACAAAGGCCAGGGGAAGGGGAAGTCCCTTCAAGCCACTATATAGTGAAAAGTCGGGTCTGCATTACCACACAGACAGTATCTGATGGGAGGCTCCTTCCTTCTGCTGCCATTAACTAGGAGAGCTCCTGAGAAGTAGAATGGGACTTGCTGCCCAGTTGAAGGAATAGGATCTATTTTACCTGTCAGGGAAAACGCAGAATATACATAAAAACAACAACACCACCAACAACGAAGAAGAAGATGATGAAGAAGATGCTTAGGGTTGCCATATTTCAAAAAGTAAAATTCCTGAGCTTTTTATTGAGAACAAACCCAAATTGTTGGGGAAACCTTAAGCTTTTGGAGCAAAAAATCAGCAAAAATTCCCCTGGATGGCATTTTTACATCCAGAAACCAGAAAATGTCAGGAATTTTCCTGACTTAGGGCAAGCCTAAGGATGCTGGAGTCCCATACGTCGGCTCAGAAGAACGAAGTTCCATTAGGTCCAACAGGACTTACTCCCAGATAAGGCCCCCACATAGTGGTCCATGGATCATAGAACTGTAGATCTGTAGAGTTTAAAGAGACCCTAAGGATCATCTAGTCCAACCCCTACAATGAAGAAATTTGCAGCTACGGGAATCGAACCTGCGACCTTGGCTTTCTCAGCACCACCCTCTTAACCAACCAACTGAACAATCTGCCAGAGGTCCACAAGCTTCATTCAGATGGCATTACTGATTATATCGTTTTATTTATTAAACTTGTACACCGCCCTTCCTCCAAAGATGGAACCTAAAAACACAACATGAAAACACAAAATGCCTAACAAAATGCATAATAAAACACTTCCATTCCCACCCATATTTTAACGCTGAGCTTTAACTGCTTTCCTTCTGTTGCATTTTTTGTACCGTCTATGGAATTCGAAGTGTGACAGAAATAAATGAAAGGAGGCGCCATGGGAAAATTTTAAAACAACAAAAAACACAATTTTAAAACAACCAAAACCCAAACCAGGCACAGCCTAGCAAGGGCAGGGAGGGGGGAAGGAACCACCAAAACACCAATTCAAATGGGTCAGCCAAGCTCCCCTCAGCCGTTTTCAAACGGGGAAAGTCTGGGGATCCGCCTGCGCGCGGGACTGCGCTCCTCTAAACTGCGCACAGCATTCCCAAGGCTGGCGCTTTAGCCCCGCGGAACGAGGATGCTCCCTGCCTCCTCCTCCAACCACTGCCCAACCTCGAAGGCTTTTCGCTGCACTTCCCCGAGCTCCCGCCAGGGGTCAGCAGCCTCCCTTTCCCCCGCGCGCCGCCGAGGCGAGGCGACTGTCTAGGACTTCGAAAAAGAGGAAGGGGAGCCACCTCGACGGGCAAGCCGTTTGCTGAGCATGGCGGCGGCGGCGGCGGCGGCAGAGAGCGAAGGGAGCGCGAGGCGGAAGATGTCGCTGCGAAGGTGTGTGTGCGCGAGGCGGGGAGGAATGTCTCCTTGGCCTCTTTCCCCACTGCCCTCCTGCCCCAGAGTTATTAATATTAGGTTGGCTTGGGAGGCGGGAGGAAAGCGGGAAAGGGGGGGGGGGAGTCCGACACACGTGTCCACACATTCACACGCGCACCCTGGAGGCGACGCGGGGCGCGCGCGCAAAGCCAGAGGGTTCCTCGCGGCGTTGAGAGAAACGTGTCTGGAAGGACTGGAAGGCGAGCAAAGTTAACAGGATAATATTTAAGGAGCACCGTTATTATTATTATTAGTAGTAGTAGTAGTAGTGTGTGTGTATAATAAAATAAAATTTATCATATATATTATTATTATTATTATTATTATGTGGGGGCGGGGGCAATATGTTGTGATGTCCTTGCAGGCAGCGGATTGTAGTTTTCCAGAAGTTTTCTTCTGTGGAAGATAATCTGGGGCTAAATTAGCTTTTCTCTTAACTTTGGGTCAAGGCAACTTATTTTAAAAGGGATACCAAATAGCCGTGCGCTGCTCTGGTTTGCCTGAGCATGCTGGCCACATGACGCGGAAGCTGTAGGACGGCTCCCTCGGCCAGTAAAGTGAGATGAGCGCCGCAACCCCAGAGTCGGCCACGACTGGACCTAATGGTCAGGGGTCCCTTTACCATTACCAGATAGCCCACGCCTTTCTTAATATGGATTTAAAAAACAACAACACCTTATTTGTTACTTATTTCTTAAATGTGTACGATGTAACGATACATCGCCCAGGACCGGTTTGAGGGTCAGAGCGTGGTGGCATTTTCTCCTGACGGTAAGTATATCAAAGGTATAGGGCTTGTCTGAGCCTGACTCCCTCTGCCACCAGTGCCTGGCATGTGGAGGGAAGACCCAAGCTGTATTGGCCCCGGTCCCGCAAGGCCCTGGGGTGAAACCACCGTTGTTTCTGAGGTGGTCTATGCTCAAACAATGCATGATCTATGCTCAAACAATGCGTGATTTTTGTGTATTTTGACTTGTTCCATATCGAGTACAATAAAGTAGACAGCACTAACTAAGACACTTAAGTCTTTTTTCTCTGTCAGGAGAGGAAAAAAATGGCAGCCCCAATCCAAAGTCCCAGAGTTATTAGCTCACTGTTGCCTTTTGGCTGATCTGTAAACCATTTCCTCGAATTTACTGTGTTAAACCATAGCCTGGGTCAGTCTGACCTAGCATTTAAATTTAATTTCTAAAAATGTTTTTGCAAGAAAAAGAGGGACAGCAGTTAAACCAGAAGTTGAGATGACTGCGCGTAAATAAGGTCATTGTGCTCTGATGGGAGTATGTGAAGAACTTTGTGGATCATAGATACTTCTTGTGATCGGGCACATTCTCTCCCCAAAGGATTCATTTCAGAGCACACATGCTCTGATCAGACTTTCCCCCCCACTAAAATAGGAACTCTGATATAAAATCACTGACTTTGCTATTAAGATGTTACCATCATCCATCATAGGGCAGGAAGATCACTTGCTAATGAATAGAAGAGGAGAAGTAAAAAGCAAGTGCAAGCTTGGTGTTGGGGAAATACCTGTCCAACCTTTTCAGAATAGTGGCCGCTCATTAGAGGAGCGTTAGTTCATGTTTTGTTGTTTCTGACTGAAGGCTCTGAGCTACTCATATTACTTGTGTCTGAATCGCAGAGCCTTTTGCTGGAAGCATATTGATACTACTTAATCCTTGTTATTGAGAGATGTTCTAGGCCACTAATATAAGATGGGTTCTTAAATACTATTTGTATGCAACAAAAACATTCTGGATACACACACATACATACACACACACACACACACACACACAATGGTACCTTGGGTTAAGAACTTAATTCGTTCTGGAGGTCAATTCGTAACCTGAAACTGTTCTTAACCTGAGGTACCACTTTAGATAATGGGGCCTCCTGCTGCCGCCACCCAATTTCTGTTCTCATCCTGAAGCAAAGTTCTTAACCTGAGGTACTATTTCTGGGTTAGCGGAGTCTGTAACCTGAAGCGTCTGTAACCCGAGGTACCACTGTGTGTACACACACACACACACACACACACACACTTACCAAATACATCTATTGCTTTTACTGCTTATTAGCATGAAGGGACGCTTACTCAAAATGGTGCTTTAGCACTCACCCATGTTGTTCCAATGTAAAGATGCCCCTTCATTTTTCTCTCCTTTCAGTTGTGAAATCTGCAATACAGAAGAAGCAAAATATCGATGCCCCCGTTGTATGAAATACTCATGCAGGTAGATATAAACTGATGGGCATCCCTTGCTTATATTTTTCTTATGTACTGAAAAGGGAGTGACAAGATTGCTTTGCTTTCTCTGTGTGCTTTCAGTTTGGCTTGCGTGAAGCAACATAAGACTGCATTCAGTTGTAATGGAGTAAGAGAAAAGACAGCATTCGTTTCCATAAATGAGTTCAGTGATTTAAATCTTCTAAGTGGTAAGAGAGTCTCTAAAAATCTCAATTGTTCTAAAGCCCCAGGGTGTTATTGCGATGGGTGGGTATGGAGGAGGCAGTGTTCTACACCTACAGTGTTCTATACCTACCATTGCCGTATTTTTCGCTCCATAAGACACACTTTTTTCTTCCTAAAAAGTAAGGGGAAATGTCTGAGCAAATGTGTGGTCCCTGGAGCCGAATTGCCCAGGGGCAAAAAGCAGTGCATGCCTTTTTTTTTTTTTTTTTGAAAGAGGGAAGTGGGTGTTGAAACAAAGCCGCTGATCGTTTGCCAGGGAGAGAGATAAGGGACGCTAGAGATAAAGGAGGCTGCCTGGGAGGGGGGAGGTAAAGACAGCAAACTTGCAAAGGTGGGAAACAGGAAAACTAAAGCAATAAGGAGAGAAATTAGAAGAAAAGGAGGAGCAAAAAACTTCTCCAGCTAAAGAAAAGACACTAAGGCAAACAAGAGGGAAGGGAGTGTTGAAAGGAAACAGCTGATCGGTGGGATCGGAAGAGGAGGCTGCCTGGGAGTGGGGAGGTAAAAGCCCGTGGATTATCAGGATTTTTACATTGGGTCGCCCCAAATTCACCATCAGATCACATGTCTGTGGCCACAGCATGAACCACAAAAATCATACATCCACTGTTTCGTTCAGAATATTTTTTTTCTTGTTTTCCTCCTCTAAAAACTAGGTGCGTCTTATGGGCAGGTGCGTCTTATGGTGCAAAAATACGGTATATAGCGTTGGAGTTTCCTATCTGCATTGCCAGCAGGCACAAGGCCTTGGGTGGCACTACTGAAGTAATAATGCAATCCTTAGTGTGTTTACATATAAATAAGTTGCTTTGAACTCAGGGTTTAGGACTGCAGCCTAAGTATAGCCACCATCAGCAAATGTATAGTTGCACAAAGCTGTTAAATGGCACATTAAATACAGCTTGTGGGGTGAATGAATGAAAACAGGTCCTTCTGCTCCTTACTACCCTACAAACTTTGTCCACCTTAGAGAAATCTGGCCCTGTATGAAGCAAGTGAGTAATGCACAGTAGGTAAGTAGTTAGGATGGTATTAGCACAGGCATTTATTTCATTTAAAACATTTTTGTCCTGCCTTGCTGCTTCAGATATGGTGGTTCACATTTTTAAAACCCCATCAATAATATCACATATTTAAGCTTTAGAAAGCACAGCAAACAAATGACAAATTTTCAATGCACACCCTCTCTTAACCCATCACTTTCATATGATCCCTTAAGAAACACGTTGTAAAGGGTATTGGGAGCTAATTTCATTTGAGCCTTTCCCCCGTTGCCCTTCTCAATTTCAGATTACAGGTTTCTGGAAGATGTCGGAAGAACGGCTGATGGCGCTGCTCGAGACGACACTTCACATAGACCAAAAAGCAATAAATTTGTAAGTCTTTGTAGCTCCCTTGAGCATACTACAGAAAACAAATGTTCATTGCCTTTTTTAAAAACAAAAGGGTGGTATTAGAAACTTAAATGACAAATACCAGATGGGGGTGGAAGGAAGAATTTGATTCAGTCACAGTAGTTGCTTATTATCCTTCAAACTGAGAAACATACTGAACCAGATTCAAAAAGTGATCCCTCTAATTGAAGGTTAATGCTTTAAAGAAATTTGTCAAAGAAAATCACTTAAGTACAAATTATACACAAATGTGTGTATTTAACACACACACACACACCTGATGTGTCCAAAGGTTTGTGTTCATTTAAAAACCCACAAGAACAACAAAAATGATATCCAGCTGTTTTGAGCAGAGAAATGCATGGGGAAAAGATTTAAGTGCCCCCTTTCCCCATTGCTTCTTCACTTTCAGTCACCCCTATTGGTAGCAGATTTTCTAAAAGCAAAGTAAAGAAACAAAACCTCATTAACTCAGAGGATGCATTTTTTAAAAACCCATCTCTTCTGAATTTAGTCATTTGTAAACGTAGCGATATTAATTGGTGACAGGGATTAATTTTGTTTGTAGTCAGACAGTTGGGCTGCTTTTCTGTGTGTCAACATGCTCTCCCCGCCCCCCATAGTAGCCAAGGTGTTGTCCTCCAGATCTTGCTGTATTTTAAAAGGTTGGAGAGATTGGCCAGATAGAATGGCATCTCAAGCCAGCTTTTGTAGAACAGTGGCTTCTTCCATTCCGCCCCCTCCCCTGTCCACCTTGGTAAGTTACATTAAGTTTAGTAGGGGTTTGGGGGACTGTTCACTTTCCCTCTCTTCCCAAGCGTGCCTCCCCATCTGGATCTCTGCAGCAGCAAAGTAGCCCCAAGGAAACCTCATTTGGAGACTGGTCCAAAATGAGCTGTGCACCTGGGTTGGCCAAATATAGATGGCCTGTGGTTGACAAGGACAAATGTGCAGGTTTGGGGAGTGTGATACATACGGTACATCCATCTACCCTCAAAGTGGAGAGCAGCCTTTGGACATTATAATGTAATCTAATGACATTATTCATTTAGTTCCTTTTGACACTTAAAGGTTGTATGATACAATGAGAGATTGTGTTGTTCACACTTAGTTTTCCTCCAGAGATAACACATTTAGTGAGTAATGCCACGCTAACTCCACTATCAAGATCATCTCAGTCTTGTGCTTTCAGAAACAGCACTAATAACTCTTTTTAATAGCAGTTTTAAAATATTTGTCCTTCAAGTCAGATTGAAAAGAATTTGAGGAACGAAACTACAGCATTTGCCTGTATTAGCGGGAACAAGATCCAATCCAGCTTATTACATTATGTCCTGATAGCTTGATAATGTCTAAATTTTATGGGTTGGATCAGGGAACTGAGTTTCATGGGTCTAAAAGAGCGCAGGAACAATTTTGGTAAAAACTTTCTTTACTCATTTAGAAGGAATGTGCCCACGTTTCTATCCCGTGAAACTGCAACGTGAAAGAATCTCATCTCAGCCTCTTGGTTGCTAGAGGGTCGGAACATTTTTATTTGTTTATTTTTATTTAACAGAACTTATATACCACTAGATTGGTATATGTGGCTTACATAAATATGAAACATTAAAATTATTGCTAAAGACAAGTCTTTAAAAATATGCAGAAGGTGATTAAAATATACAGTATCTGAAAAGAAATAGAACACATGTAACACATAAGCTTAGGTGTGTTCCTGGGTGCTTGTTTTTGCTTTAACAAAATCACATTACTACTTAGCATTGTATTTGCAGTACATGATTTGCAGTACCATATCAGTATTGTAGCTGTTATAGAGTGCATATACTGTGCATTGTGGAATAGAGTTTTAGTTATTAATGGGCCCAAGTGTTGAATATAATGAGTAATATCCCGGAACACTGCAGAACGTCTGCAACCTTTGACACCACAGAAGACTGCTTTACTGTGCTTCCTGTAACCGTTTACTAATAAACATGGGCATTTAAATTTCTGTTCCTCACATGAGAAATATGGGAGTGGGATTCAAAGGTAATGCCAGCGGAAAACATTTGCCCAATTTAGAAATTGCCTATCTTCTCTGCCCACTCATCTGTGAGAGGGTGTCACTGAGCCAAGGTGAGAAAAAGTATTTCCTCTCTCTCTCTCCCTCTCTCCATTTGGTCACACAGGTAGATTACTTTCTAGCACAAATACGCCGTGATGGGAAATGCCACCTGTTGAATTACTTCCTGCTGGGTTACTGTTAAGGAAGAAGAACCCTGCAAAGGGAGGGAAATTGGCAACTTGCCACTCTCAACCTGGCTGTACACTTAAGAATTTGTGGTGCTATGAGAGAAGCATTTTGTACACCAATATACACTATAGAATTGTTGCTGGTAACAAAATTATAACATATAGAATGTATATATGCATGCACACCTTAGCAAATGTCTTCAGAGTTGTGATAAGACCTGGAGGCTGTAATATGTGGTTGTTGGTATCTGAATTTAAAGCAGGAGGATCTCATATCGTGGTCTGGATTATTAATGCAGAAGTAATAGTTTTTATTTTAGTTGTGTATAAAACCAATCAAACACCTTCTGAATCTTAAGGGGACAGCATGGGTGAAATTTGTTTTAGAGTTCTGATGTATTATTTATACAGTAATACATAAATAGTTCTTCATCAAATAATGGCATTTATGTGCTACTAAAAATGTACATTGATAGGCCTTTAAACTACAGCTTTAAGTATAATTATGCTTTTAGCTACATCTTACTGAGACATAAATCCAAATGAAATTGATGGGATTTACTTCCAGCTATATATTTATTTTATATTAAGCCATTAATGAGAGCAACTACTTGTGTAGCTTGTGAATTGAACTTTTGGTTATTTATCTGATCTCTGTAAAGACTACTATACTAAAATAGTACAGTGGTACCTTGGGTTACATACGCTTCAGGTTACAGACTCCACTAACCCAGAAATCGTGCCTCAGGTTAAGAACTTTGCTTCAGGATGAGAACAGAAATCGTGCTCCGGCGGTGCGGCGGCAGCAGGAGGCCCCATTAGCTAAAGTGGTGCTTCAGGTTAAGAACAGTTTCAAGTTAAGAACGGATCTCCGGAATGAATTAAGTACTTAACCCGAGGTACCACTGTATAAATCAATAATAATATTAACCCCTGAAAATTAAGCCCAACACCTATCTGAGCCAGGAGGGTTTAGGTCCTCAGGTAGAAATTGTACTTGCCTCTCACTCAGCTCTTTCGCCACTGCTCTCTTTCATTGGCTGTGTTTGGATGTAATGTTAAACCACAGTTTAGTGTTTCACAAACAAGCTGCATTGGGCCTTGGACTCAAACATTCCACCCTCTCTTCCTTTGGTATATCTGTAAGGAGGAGACCAGAAGTTTCCCCTTCTGTTTTAAATTAACTACAGATATGCAAACCTAGATAAACAGTGGTTAATCTTAACTATGCTTTGTTGAAACAAGCCAGCTTCATAAACTGGTTTGCATTTGGGTTGTTTCAGTAAACAATCATTACAATAAGCTATGTTTCATCCATGTTCAGGTATCTCAACAAGCAACAGTAAATCAAAAACCAAAGCAGCAGTTTCCAAACTTCTCCTTTTTTTAAAAAAAAAAATATATTTATTAAAATTTCAAAGAATACAAGAATTACACAAAAACAAAAAGTAAAAATACAAGAAAATACAAAATACAGAAAAGAGAATACATGAAAAATAAAAAGGAACATACATAATAAAAACAATTAAAAACACATTAATTTTCCCTAGCATATCCTCCTTACACTTATTTCCCCGGACCTCCTCGTACCTCCCTTTTTTGTATTCCAGTTCAGTTTGTTAGTTCAGCAAATCCTTACCATTAAGCTTTTACCCATTTGTGAACCTTTTTTTCATATCTCTTAAAGCATTACAGCTGGAAACCACTTAGTTTCTATCCAACATCCTTCTAAAATTCATTAATTTTATAATATTTCTGTAAATAGTCTTTAAGTTTCCAAACTTCTCCTTATGGTCACAGCATGCAAGTGCAAAGCTTACTGCAGCTCATTCTTGTAACACTTAGTAAACCATGGCTTAGCATTGCATAAAAGCAAGACCATTAGCCTGGACTTTGAAATTGTCAGTAATTATTTTTTCTGTCTTTTGAAACACTCAATCAGGTGAATTTTTTGAGAAACCGAGCTCGAAGGTACGACATCTGCCTACGAACTTTGCCAATTGGATTCACAAAGAGACGAGAGAATTCTACGTTCTTTAACAACAAGTAAGTTTCTAGTTAATATTACTGTGGGGATAATGTCATCAAAGGTTGTCATTCTGAATAACTTGCGGCCCACCAAGTTAAAGCTAGACCGCCAGTCAGAAAGGGTGACTTGACCAGAAACTCAATGATACCTGTTGAAAGGTCCCATGTTATACAGATAATAATAATATAATAATAATTTATTATTTATACCCCGCCCATCTGGCTGAGTTTCCCCAGCCACTCTGGGCGGCTCCCAATCAAGTGTTAAAAACAGTACAGCGTTACATATTAAAAACTTCCCTGAACAGGGCTGCCTTAAGATGTCTTCTGAATGTCAGGTAATTGTTTATCTCTCTGACATCTGATGGGAGGGCGTTCCACAGGGTGGGTGCCACTACCGAGAAGGCCCTCTGTCTGGTTCCCTGTAGCCTCACTTCTTGCAATGAGGGAACCGCCAGAAGGCCCTCGGCGCTGGATCTCAGTGTCCGGGCTGAACGATGGGGGTGGAGACGCTCCTTCAGATCTGTTCTAAATGTCATTCTCATGCATTAAATTTAAGCCTATACGTCACAATTTAGTATTAAGCCCACTGAAATAAAAAGGCTTCTGTATGCTTAACTTTGTGCTTGATTTTAGCCCGTGGTATTTTCAAGATTTTTTTCTTTAATTAATTCCTTTACTGTGTGCTAAACTTATGCCATGGTGATAGTTGGACAATAGGAACAATCCCTTGATGGATATTTAGGTTATATAAACAATATAGTTGACATTAATGCAATGTCTTCACCAAACAGTTTCCGTACATTCTAATGAATATTTGATGAAGCAAAATTTTGATGGAGGGAGTAGAAAATAACTTGCATTTCTTCTTTTTGGGAGAATATAGGGTAGGATTCACCTAAGTAACCCCATCAACTTAAGCCCGGGACAAAGACTTCTGCTTGCACAATGGGACTCCGCACCCACTTTCTCTCCTCCCTTGCAGTTGGCTCCAGGGGATGTCCAAAGAACCCTGCATTAACAGTGTGCCTGGGGAGGGGAGAGGGGGCTCATTCCATCTGCAAGCTGAAGTTGAACATTGAATTCCATCCCATAGTATTTCTGAACTACAATGCACATTTTAGGAAATACTGGGATTTTTCAAAAGGATGTGAATTGGGCAGCATGTTAATTGTCAAGTGAAATTAGAAATATTCTTTCAGTAACATAATGCACCTACAGTTGGTAGAGCATGAGGCTCTTAATCTCTGGGACGTGGCTTCAGATGTCCTTTACTTTGCAATATTTTTGTTTTGTTCTGTATGGGGCAATCAAGAATTTTGGGACCATTTAATGAATCCACTTGTGTTTCTGTTAGTGGTAGGTGGAGGCTTTCTGTTTACTAGTGACCAGGTACTTATGGATCACTTGTTTATGTGTGTGGTTATGCCAAAGGAATTGTTTTTGTTTCTGGCAAACAGAAAGTCCTCAGAAAACAATGATAGAAATGGAAGGTGAGAAGCCCTAGAGTAATAACTTGGAAGGAACACTATAAAATCATCTCTCATTGACAGATAGTGATGGAGGGGAAATGTGACGTTTCGCTATAAACCAGTAGATGTCTCTCTTGCAGCATATTAGCAAACAGATTCTCCAACACTGATGTGCTTGCAAGGAGTAATTATGAAACCAGCCCAAATAGTTCTCTATTGAGCATGTATTTTCTGAACTAAGCAGCAAAGTATCACAGGAATTTGCAAAAAAGTTACCTAACACTTACGTCTAGGATATAAAAGATAGTGCCTGTATGCAGCTTTGCAAAGCAAATGCATTTTTTCTTTCTTCCAAAAAATACAATGCTGCATCTTTTCTTCCTAGCAACAGGACTCAAATAATTATTAAGTCTGACAACCTTTTAGCTTGCAGCAATTTTACCCTAAGTAAATCCAGAAAACCATTTGGCCAGTAATAATTTACAATGATGTGCATGTAACTTATTGGTATGTGCAGTTGTTGTTGTTTTTAATAAGCTACCCACCCTTCCTGCAAGGAGTTCCCTGTTTCCTCCATCCCATTTTATCCTCACATCAACTCAGTGAGGTAGGTTAAGCTAAGAGATAATGACAGGCACAAGGTCACCTAATGAACTTCATGGATGAGTGGGGATTTGAACCTGGGTTTCCTTAACATTTTTACCAGCGCTCTGCACTATAACACTCTACTATGTATGGTTCTGTTTGGGTCACCATTCCAAGGCAGGAAAAAATTGCAGGTGCCTGGCTGGTATTTGGGTAGCAAAAAAATTGGGAATATTCTTTCAAATGTAGAATGAGGTTCCAAAAACTGATGTTGACCCCTTAACATAAGGCTGCCAAAAATATAAAATATTTCCAAGCCTTAGTTCGGGGTGGAGAACTGGAACCTGCCAGCAGGCTTGATCCTTATGTTCCCCACCAGAGTGGGCCAATGTTGACAGGTGCATAGGACTGCCAGCATGTCACTCACCCTGCATCATAATGTGATCAGGTAACTGACACCTGACACAGATCAAAGGAGGTAGTTGTAAACCCCAGTCAGTTGGTTGTCAATTAGACCAACCTCCTTTGAAGATGCATTTTCAACTGCAATCAGCTGATTGGCACTGGGAACAGTCTTTCAAAAAGGCTTACTTTAAATTTTCATCCCTTGAACTGATGGTCGGTTAGGGGAAACCACTTTGAAGTCCCTGCAGAGGGGGAAATGCTTCTTTTAAAAACTGCATCCCCCCTGCCCTGAAAGCTTGCAAAACACCTAGGGCAGTACGTCCAAAGCACCAAGTTCAGCTGATTGTCAGATGCTTTGGAAGTGCTGTTCAAGGGGCTTGCAAGAACCTCTGGTGAGCTGGTTGGTAGTGCCTGCAAAGCCCTTTGCATCCAAGACCTGCCCCTTCAGCTGTAATGCACATTGTCATGGCTTGGTCAAAATGGCCTTGTGGGACAAGTGTGAAGGCCTGATGGTTTGGCATGTGGGCCAGAGCCTCCCTGCCTTTTAGATTATATCACTCCCCAGCTGTAGGGCATATAGACTAGGCAGATCAGATCATGTTTTTGTCTAGAATTAAGGTACATTGGGTACATTGATATTTCTTGCATACACTTCGAACCATTTTTGTTCTGCCTCTAACAAAAATAGATTTAGCTTGGCCACAAGCTGTAAGCCAGTATTGTCATGGTCTCTGTTCATTTGGGTTTCTCCTCCAGTCAGCAGAATGCAGACAAAATACTATCAACAGCAGCCATTTAAAAACACGTTCATTATGCTACCCATGTAGTGTAAATCAAGCAGTACAGGTGCGAAGCAATCAGGGGAAACAAAAACATGTAAAGTGTAGCTTTAAAATGCATTATTCAGTGGTTGTCAAGCCATGATGTCTTGACACAATGATGCTTGAACTCATGTTTCAGAATCCACATTAAGCTCCAAGGCACGATGTGTAAAATTCATGTTGATGTAGATACATGTTAACAATACAGTTTAGACAAGACTGTCAGAATTGTGTACTCTGTCAAATGCTGCAATGCTATTTGTCTTCCATGTATTGAGAACAGTAATGTAGCTTTTCCATTCTGATCATAAAAATGAACTGAAAGAACAATAGCAGTTGCATGTCATGGTAAGCTGTAAACATTGGCTTACCACGCACAAGAAAATTGTGCTCGCTTCGTTCCTTTGAGCTTGTGCTGGGAGAAAGCAAACCATGATCCCTAGCTTAATGTTATATCCGGACAAGGGGTTTGTGATGTTTTCCATGGTCAGTAAGCCAAGACCAAACTTTATTGTGTCATTGTTTCTTGAGAGTAATGGGAGCAAAGCAGCCCGTGATTAGTGCTTCAGATGTAACACTAAAGCAGGTGGATTGAAGCGGGGAGCAGTTTGCTTGTGTGTAGTAGTAAGCCAAGGTTTATGTGCAAATGTAGCCAATATAGTAGACATTGTTTTCAACCAATGAAGAATCTTGAAAATTTTTAAATTGTTACATGTTTAGTCGCCTTGGAATTATCCTTCTTGCAAATTTTAAATCTGCTGCATCATGCTTCAGCAAGAGGGCCTTCTGGCAGTTCCCTCAATACAAGAAGTGAAAATACAGGGAACCAGGCAGAGGGGCTTTTCAGTAGTGGCACCCGCCCTGTGGAACGCCCTCTCATCAGATCTCAAAGAAATAAACAACTATTGGACTTTTAGAAGACATCTGGAGACAATGAAGGCAGCCCTGTTTAGGGAAGCTTTTAATATTGTATTTTAATATTTTGTTGGAAGCCACCCAGAGTGGCTGGCAAAACCCAGCCAGATGGGCAGGGTATAAATTATTATTATTATTATTATGATTATTATTCATCTAGCAAAGTAGTTTTCCTGCTCTTGTGAGGCCTTTCTGGTAAGCCATTTGTGTAGCATGAAAATGGACTTCAGTCAGTTCTAGGTGAATTGTCTTGTTATACAAATTATAGGGATCAAGAAATAGTTGAGCTTGCAGTAAAGTTAGCACAACTTTCTTGCTTATATATCAAATCTCTACTGGGTTGTTAGTGATGCTTAGCTAAGCTTCAGTAAAACAGAGGCTCCTCTGGTGCCTTACGTGGTTTAGGACCTCAGCTATGTCACACTGGCGCTTCAGTGGTCGGTGTGTCATAAAAGGCTCAGCATTCATGTACTTTAATGAGATTTCTAGGTGGGGGCGGGCGTTCACAGGAGACTATAATCACTTAATTAGTCTGGATCTGTGTTGTTTACAGAAGCTTATGAGACATATATAACACTGCAGGGACCTCATTTACTGAAAAGTGAATTAAGCCTGGCTGTACATGCATTAAGGTTCAGGAATGAATTCTGCTTCACCTTTGCAGACCTCCTCTAGCCCCCCCCCCCCATTTTACTGGTGCAGGACAAGCCATCTTGGAGGCTCTGTGAGAAAGGTGGGATATAAATTTCTTAAATAAGTTTAAGGTCTGTATTAAAGCAGCAGTTGGGTCGTTTGAAAATGCTATTGCATATCCCGGTTCTCATTTCCCCTCCTTAATGTCTAGTTCTGAACAGAATGAAGTAATGCATTTATGTATAATTATGTTTGGGTAGTAGCTATTGTCCTCCCATGCCTGTGGCTCCAGCGTTGCTCTTAACATACCTCAGCGTTATTTTTTGCAGCCTTGTGGACAGACCCTCTCAAGGACTCATGATTAGACTGGCTAAAAAACAGAAGCTTAGCATGTGGTGGCCCCTATCCAGTGGACAAACAAGTAACCACTAGTTAAAGAAGAATAAACCTTTTCATAATTACTTTGGCTTAATTTTGCCCCACTTGACATCCATGTCAATGCAACAAGTGGTTTATATAACTTGTGGTTAATGTTTCCAAAACCTTAGTCCATTTTTCTTTCTCATAACTTGCCTTTGATTACTCTTACCTTTAAAAAAAAAAAAAAAGCAAAGAGCTACAGCTAAGCCTGTTGTGTGATCTTGTGAATTCTAGTAAGATAATTCAGATTAAATTTCCTACATTCGTGGCAGTGAGATTCCGCAGGGGTAAGAGAGAATAGGGCACCGGACATGAAAACAGATAGCCTCAGGAAATCCACTTTCAGCTGCCGTTTATTCTGTAAGCAAGTGGATCCCTTGTACAGCAAGGGTGGCTATCCTGTGGACCTCCAAATCCCATCGTTGGACTGCAAATCCCATCCAGAATATGTTTTACAGCATACTCGTTTTCTGCCTGGTCAGCTTCTAAAGCATGGCATCTTCACGCTAGCGAAACTTGCATCTTGCTTTCTGTGTAAATATTGCAAAGTGCTTTGCTCGTTACTATACTGATCAATCCAACAATATCTCAAGTGAATATTTAATTGTACATAGCAACAGATTTGTCTACTGTTTTGCTACTGTGCATGTTTCTGTAGCAAGTTGGACTCAGCTGAATGTTTTATCTGCCCAATAGTCAAAGTAACTTTGCTATGGCAACAGTGCATTGTTTCCAGTCACTGATATCAGAGCCTCTTAAACTTGATACTTGAATTTATATATATATAGCCTTGTATAATAAAAGAAGTATTATCACATCTTAAATATCAGGGAAGCAGCAGTTCATACATTTTAAGCTATACAGAATGTAAAGGCACCATTGTACTTTGAGTGATGCAGTAGTCATTAGTTCTGTTCAATGTTGGGTTGAATTGACTTGTATAAACAACCCAAGGTGGAAGTGATTTTAAGAAGTTTGTTACCTGCATAAGTGATCATGTGAACAATCCTTTCGTGATGATATTGATCTACCTTTTCCTACCACCTTGTTTATTTTGGACTCTCTGCCACAGAGCTCAGGCAATTGCATTTGTGATTAATAGTTTACACAATGAAGTATTAATAGTCTGCGCTGGTTTTGTTTCAGGGAACAAAAGTTCTACTGGCACTTGAAGCTTCTATTTCCTCATAGTCATGCTAAATTCACAGAAAAAAGGTACCCAAATGTTTTTGTTAGCCTCTGCTTACCATGAAATGTAAACCACTACCGTTGTATTGTATCACAGCTTGTTTTGCTTTTTGTTTCATAAAAATGATTATTGCAGCCTTCTTGGCTAAACAATAAACTGAATTCATAGCATAAAATTTAAATCTTGTTTTTAAAAATACTGTTTCTGTGGTTTGGTTTAAAACCTATTGTTTTAAAATGTCCATCTTTACCACTGAGAGTTGTAACTGATCTGTTATAAAACTGAATGTGTTCCATAGTTTTTAGGTTTTATTTATTCATTCACCATGCAGTCAAGGGCAGGTCTGATCATTATATGGTCTTTGCCGACCCTGTTGCAACACATAGATGTTTCTTGAATTATTACTATCCACTTTGTATCTTGCTTGGTGACTACCATTGCTCAGTTAGGCACTCTCCCAGCTATAATTTCTTATCTAGAAAAGGTGGGAGAAAGCTTGTCTTCCCATAGAACAGATTGAAAGATATGGAAGATTTCTTTAAAATTAAAGCACCAGCTCATCTCTGTATTATGGAAATGAGACATTTAGAACAGGAAAACCTTTCCTGAAAGGCCCTTGGTATTCTTGGACCAGTGTCAGAGAAGTCAGGTCCTCTTTTCTTCTTGAATGTGCTGTTGTTCTATAGCCTTTTCCACAGCTCTGACACTGGGGCTTATATAACTACTGTTTCACACATGTTGACCTGATTATTCTAGTTCTTGCCAGTATTAAGCTTCATGATTGATACACTTTTGTCTTTTTGTGTAAAGGGTCGCAGATGATAAGCCACTGTATGACATTCTAAAGCGGTATGTTGATCCTCAAGAGTCTGATCCTGTCATTCATCAAAGGTACGTGCTTCTAAATATTTCGCATCCTAACGTTCTGTTGAGATACAAATCAGTCATTAAAGCATATTGGGCAGTCTTGTGATACATCATGGCTTACACTCAACAAGCACATTACTTGGTCTGGTTTGTCTTGAATGAAAGATTTCTTGTTATGTGGCAAGGTTTATCTAATGTTACGCCTTTCATTTCAGATTAAAAACCTATGCAATGTCCCCTCAGTCAGACATACGAATTTTAATGAAAGTGGAAAACAGACCACAAAACTCCATCAGGTAAGAGATTTTTGTTTTACAAAGCAGCAAACTCTGTATCTCCATATACCTTTTGAGTAGTAAGGCAGCTATAAAATAGCCAGCTTAGAAGAATGTGGAGCGAAATGTTGTCCCTTAGGTCCAAAACGCAAGACATGCATGGAAGAACACAGTTACTTTCTTTTCACTTGTGGTACTTTATGGACGCGAGTGGCGCTGTGGGTTAAACCACAGAGCCTAGGGCTTGCTGATCAGAAGGTCGGCGGTTCGAATCCCCGTGACAGGGTGAGCTTCCGTTGCTCGGTCCCAGCTCCTGCCAACCTAGCAGTTCGAAAGCACATCAAAGTGCAAGTAGATAAATAGGTACCGCTCCGGCGGGAATGTAAATGGCGTTTCCGTGTGCTGCTCTGGTTCGCCAGAAGTGGCTTAGTCATGCTGGCTACATGACCCAGAAGCTGTACACTGGCTCCCTTGGCCAGTAAAGTGAGATGAACGCCGCAACCCCAGAGTCGGCCACGACTGGACCTAATGGTCAGGGGTCCCTTTACCTTTACTTTAGGGAAGAGCTGCTGCTCAGTGATGCAGCACATGTTTTGTGTGTGAAAGAGCCTGCATTCATTCCCTAGCATCTCCAGGTAGGGCTGGGGGTAAGACCACTGTCTGAACCCCTGGAGAGCCACTGTGGTAGATGTAGACCGAGAATGGGGAATCTGCACTCCTGTATCACCCACTACAGCACCAGCCCACTCAGTGGCTTTTAGTCCTTTTCAGTCCAAGCAGGTTTCCAGTCCTACCTTTCTTTCTTGCTCTGGGTTTGGTGACAAAGAGAAATCCACAGATCTACACGCTTAACAGCATCCACAAAGGAAGTCCATAAATAGACTCGCCTACCTCAGAAACAACAGGTGCAGCACGGGAGCTGAACTAATTAAGTCCCAGGCAAAAGAGAGGGTGGAATGTGAAAAGGAGAAGAAAGACGGGATTGTAAATTACTCAGAGAGGTTAGGAAATGGTTATATAGTGTTGCCCTTACTTTAGAGTAAGTTCCATTGAAAGCATTAGGATCTGCTTCTGCGTAATCTTGACTGGCTCCAGTTCTGTGAGGGTATCTGAATTGTGTGTTACCCAGAATTCCAAAAATATAATATCTGAAATGCCGATAATGCAATCATATTGTACAAATCAGATATAGGTGTTCAGGGTGATAACAGCTAGGTATCAGTAAAGAAATACTATGGCGTAAAAAACAACAACAGCAGGCTTGCTAAATATTCTAAATTCTAGACTCTCCCTCTGAGTAGGATGCAAAAGCCAAATCTGGATAAATTTCTAAAACAAATTTGCCATCGGGTAACACAGTAGGTGATTTTATTCTTCTTTTTCTGTTGTTTTGGGGGGCAGTCAGTTCCAAGTGAGGCTTAGCTGATGCATACTGAATGGGGTTTTTTTGCAGTTCATTGCGTTCCTTTTAGAAATATCTATTTGTCCTCTTCAGAATAAATTAATAACTTTGTCTAGTGCTTTATGTTTGGGATGCCTTCAGAATGACTTCATGCAGTAGGGGATATTGCTTTTTCCAGTAAAGGAAGGAAAGAAACTGCTGCCAAATTATACAATCTGGTTAGGGAAGGTCACCTTCTCCTTTTCCCAGGAGAGTGGTCAGACAAGTCTTTGTAACCAAAGAAGTTGATATTAATTGAAACAATGAGTGTTTGAGATACTTAATTAATTGTTTTAATTCAAAGTATAACACTACCCTGGTGATAATTCATGAATGACTGGTATGGCTTTCTGACACTTGAATGTGACAAAGTTTTATTGCAGGACAGCTTTTCCCTCGAGCTATTTCTCATAGAAAGCCAGCATTACCTGGCTTCAAATGCTCAGTTAGGTGTGTCTCGAGGGTACAGTTAAGTCTGGTTAATATCAGTGCAGATGTTAAACCACGTGGCCTGTGCTAGATCCTTAAACAGTTGACTAGCGTGACACCTGCGCTAGCCATTAATAATATATAGTTTTTCTTTTGTGAAGAGTCTCTGCTTTATGTTCTTAGGACCTAAACACTGTTCTAGGGTTTTGCTCCTTGTATGGTGGGGACCCCATCAATTGACTGCTGGTTTAGTGCTGTACTTCTGCTGATCCCAGTGTAGTAGACTCCAGCCTGAAAGCTAGTATCGGAGCATATGGGAATTCAGTGGGTGTAACTTCACTGGTAGAAGGCATACATCAGCAGAATAGGGAAGGAAGCAATTTTCAGCCATTCATCTTCTCTTCTGCAGCCTTCCTCAGGACGGTTCTCTAACCCTTCAGTGCAGAGTTGCTGAAAAGTGTCTCTTTGTCCGTTCTGCTGATAGATGCCTTTTTTCAGCAGAGCAACATCCATTAAATTCCACCTTACATACTTTTCTTTTGTTGCAGAATCTACTTTGATGGTTGCATATCGAAAGCACTAATTGGCCTGGTTCACATATAATGCTAAACCATGTTTTTAGCACTGTGGGCAGGCTTGAACAAGTCTGGCCCAAGTGAAGCTGTGGGCCTATGCATATCCTCCTCCTGCTCCTATTGCACTGAATTTAATTTTTATGAATCTGGTCTTAACATTATACAGTCATACCTTGGTTTAAGAACAGTCCTGTTTACGAACGATTCAGTTTATGAACTCCGCAAAATCCAAAGTAGTGTCTCAGTTTGCGAACTTTACCTCGGTCTAAGAATGGAATCCGAATGGTGGAAAGGCACTGGTGGCGGGAGGCCTCATTAGGGAAAGCGCGCCTCGGTTTAAGAACAGTTTCGGTTTAAGAAGACTTCTGGAACGGATTAAGTTCGTAAACTAAGGTACCACTGTATTTGAACCAAGGTTTCATAACCCATGTCTGATGTTGACTTGTTACAAAATATACTAGAATTTGTTTTAAACTTGGATCCCAGGCTTAAATGTAATGATAATACAGTAAAACTGAAACTGAACAAAGCATCACTCAGCCTCTTAGCCGCAGGGGAGCAGCAAGTGCAATGCTTCATTTGGGCTTATTGAGGCATATGGTGCTAAAGCAATAAACCATGGTTTATGCGTGAACCAGGCCATTGTGTACCAATCATGATATCTCAAGGTGACCTTACTTTCTTTAAAGCTAGTGGTAGAGCAGATGTATTTGGCGACTTGTTTCAAGCATAGTGTGGGAAAGAGACAGACTGCAAGTGAGTCTTGTAAGACTTTTGTGCTTAATGCTCTCTTTGTTTGAAGTCTTTGTTCTTTGTTGAGGTAGTATAGTCCTTCTCCTTATGGGAAATCTGCAACAAAACGTCAGTCTTAAGTTTTACTTTCAGAACGGATGCTTATTTCAGCTGTGTGATATCCGTTTTTGTGCCCAAATAGACATTTCCTAGTTCAGTTTAAGGATATGTAAAGATGATGGTTACCTTTCGGTTTTGTCAGTGCCTTAAGTTCTATCAGTGCTATTTTCCTATATAACTTAAAAGTTGCTAACTATTTTTATGGCATTGATGGGGATCTTCCAGACTGTGGGCCAAATTTAGGCCCATAAGGCCATGGAGATAGGCCTATCAGGCTGTTTTGGGTGAGCCACGCCCACATTTCCCAGGCTTGGTGTCATAAGAAGTTAGGCATGGGAAAGTTAAAGCCATGGCTCAAAACTTGAAGTGGCTGCTGTGAAGGAGAAAGTATCGGGTACACTGAAATGCACACTTCCAGTTCCTTTGCAGCTGCAGAAACCAGGGATGGAAAGCAAGTATTTTAAGGATTGCAACTTGCTACCATTCATTTTAGCACTTGCATGGATTATAGTCCCAGTAGCTGTAATCAAGTGGACGGTCCTCGACAAAAAAATTTGCTTTTAAAAATGTAACCATGATCTGTTGAACTTCATCCAAGCATAACAGCTTAGTTTATAGCTGCGGCTTAGAAAACTTGTGGTCTATGAGGAGAGTTCTTGAGAAGCTTTCTACCTCCTGTTCCCTCACCACTGTTCCAAGGGAAAGTAAACTTTTGGTGAAACGAATTACTCTTTAAGTACGTCATTTTTGTGTGATCTTGACAAAGCTTTGCATACCTAAAAGCATACCGTAAGAGTCTTTGCTGTAGAATCTGCTTTTGTTTCTCATGTTGTGTCAGTTTCCTTTGGGTATTTACATTCTGCTGAAAAACAAGCTGGCTTTGTCTCATATGCTTAGTAAGAAAACTCCTGCTTACATTAAATACACTTTGAAATAACCATGAATACAGTGGTACCTCAGGTTAAGAACTTAATTCGTTCTGGAGGTCTGTACTTAACCTGAAACTGTTCTTATCCTGAAGCACCACTTTAGCTAATGGGGCCTCCTCCTCCTGCTGCTGCGCTGCCGCTGCGCGATTTCTGTTCTCATCCTGAAGCAAAGTTCTTAACCCGAGGTACTATTTCTGGGTGAGCGGAGTCTGTAACCTGAAGCATATGTTACCCAAGGTACCACTGTAGTATGTTAGCAAGGGTGGCTTGTGTCATTGTATCGAAAACCTGGCCAACCTTTAGCGAATTGGCTAGTAGATCAACACTGGCTCTGTTCCAGGTCTAGTTGCATATTTAAGAAGTATCTACCTGTGACTAATAGCCTTTTTGTATGCCCATGCACTCCATCAAAGGCCAATGGATGCAAATAGGCAACACTTACCTTCAGATATAAATTGGATTTGCCTCTGAAGTTCCTGATCCAGCAAATAATCTGTGTGTGGACATCTCCTTCTGTGGCTGCAGCTCATTGCTATTCAGAGCATCTGCTATTCATACAGAAATTCCCAGGTTCAATCACTTTCTCCTAGTGCTCAGATTGGGGGCACGGGAAGAGGAGAGGGTGGGAAGCCCTGTTATACTGTTAAGGACTCCTTGTGCTGGCTGTTGATAGTGCAGCAGTTTAGTTGCCATTATGATGTTGATGATGATGATGATGCTCATCATTGCTTTATTAATCACCTTCCAAAACAACCATCTCAGTTTAATTTGCCCCTTATGGACTAGAAATGAATCAAAAAGTTTGTTAAGAAATCCTTGTAGTATAGAAGCAGTCAATTAGGGAGCAATCAAAGTGTTGCTAAATGTTATTAAATGCAATAGATCCTCAAATAAATATGGGGGATCTTAATATTGAAACTTGTCCCACTTTGAATGTTTGCATTCCATCATTGTAACATTTTCATTAGTTCACTGATTATCTCCATTTACTTCTGATTCAGTCTGCCAGCACCACCTTAAAGGAATTAGCCTGTGTCTAGTCAGTTCTTATCTCTGGTTAACAGCTCCAGAATTTTCAAAAGTATAAAGAAAAATGCTGTAAATCTGAAGAGTTGCACAGAGCAAACAGTGTGTTTACAGGGTGTTGATAGTGCCTTAACTCAAGGGTCTATTCTGTAACCATCTAGTTGAAATCACTTTAACCGTTGTGACCTGTAACTGTTTTGTAAAAGTTCATACAACCCACAGACATTCTAGAAACTTTAGAATGGAGCAATAAATACATATGTCATAGTATACGGATGTAACTGAATATGAGCTGGTGTTTTGAGGTGAAAAGGGGATAAAGGCATAGCTGGGAATAGTATTCTTTGGATTGTTTCTTTCACTGGTTTTCAGATGGGAATCTTACATGTTGCTGTCGAAAAGAATCCCCAGAATGATTTTCCATTTTATGTTGCCAAAAGGGAATCCCTCTGTTTATCTCTTTCCGACAGTAATGAACTAGAACTGTTCCTCTGACCTTGTCAGGAGAGGTTTGACCTTCCTTCCTTGGCAGAGAAGAGGGAACATGTTTGTTTTGCAAGGGTTAGTGAATTTTTGGCAGGCAGCAAATACAACCTTTGTAAGAATGTGAAGACCTGTGATGGGAATGTTAAAAGTACGGAGATTAAGATACTTGTGTTTTATAACTCAGTGTGTGTTAATTGGGAGAATAACTTTCTCTTATTCATGGAAGAAAACATGCCAAATAAAATGAATACAGTACATAGAAGTAACTATTCCTTTTCGTAAAGTTTCATTCTCTCCACAGTAGATTAAAGAGTCCGTGTTTCTGTTCCCAGTGGCCTTGTCCAGAACCACAAATGACTACATAGAGTTATGTAATGCTTGTTGCATCAGCTATTTATTCCCACTAGGTTTTGTCTTAACTGTAGTTAGGCAAGAAGACCACTATTGTGTCTCTGTGCGTGTACACACATAAGTGCGCGCACGCACACAGGGCCTTATTTTGGGGGTTAGGAGGACACAGTGGTGGGTCAAGTGGCGCTTATATGGCATTTGCAGATCTGAAATCCATGACCTAGATCCAAATTTCATGGGAGGCTCATGGTTGCTCAGAATTGGCCAGCTGCAGAAACCAACAAGTGTCAGCCAGTGGTCAGATAGAACTCTATATAATTGCACCATCAGTATCTTTGACTGTCCCTGAAGCTACTCATTGATCTTCACATACCCCTGAAAAAAAGAGACAATATGATTCCAGACCAGTGGTTCCCAGCTTTTTTGGTCATGCCCCACCTAAGCATCTCTAAAATCCTGATGCCCTACCCCACCCCGGTTACATATAATTCTTATTATTCAAAAAGTGAACTCCTATTCACATGGAGAAAGCCTAAAATGCCATTCACTGTTAATAACTCATTCTCAAATTGCCCCCCCTTAAAAATCAAATTGCCCCCCTGTGGGGCGTGTGCCCTATGTTGGGAAACATGGTTCTAGACTATCATTGACTATGGTATAATGCTCAGTCAATCAATATAGCTTTCGCATTCAAGGTTTTTCTATGTCTTTCAGCTATTGGCCAGATGATCCCATTGGGATATTTTGCAGGAGGCATCCCATACTGGTGTGATTTAGTTTGGGCAAAATTGTACATTATGTAGCACAGCAGAATCTATTTGTTCACATCACAGAAATGTCCCAATTATATCAAGATCATGGACTGGCCAGTATCAATAATATACCGTTTACATCTGATGTTGGACCTGATGGAATGAATCTGCATGGGAATTGGTATAAGTAACAAGGACAACTCTTCAACAATAAGCTGTGCTTAATCGATACTTATTTTTGTTTATATATGTGGGATTTGTACTATATGTGCCTCCAGGGCCACATTCGCATTTCCAGGGCAGCTTACAATTTCATAATATGAATCCAGCAGTGGCGTGGACTCTGTTTAAAAGACATCATTGTGTAAGCAAGGTGAGAATTTGTATGCTGTGGTTTGAAATGGTGCCCTAGTTTGCTCTGTAACAAGCTTCATCAAAATCTCTGGACAAAATTCTAAGGCAGAGCTTTATATCATGACACATTTGTGTGTCGGCTGCAGTGTGTAGGTGTGTTGTGTGAACGCTCCCCGCGCTCCTCCCGGGGCTGGAAAGGGGTTACTTTAACCTCCGGTTTGCTAGTAAAACTGAATTACTGTGTCGCGAAAGGATGCATGTCTAAAAAGTGTGTCACCAACATGAAAAGATTGGAAAGCTCTGTTCTAAGGTATAAGAGAAAAACTGCTGGGACTGCATTGTTTGAAGCAAAACAGTTACTAGGTATTTCATAGATGGAACATCTTTGCCCAAATCAAAATTTAATAATTTTGACCTATTTTCCCAAGCTCCTGTTTAGGAAATTGGCAGATACAGTGGTACCTCAGGTTAAGTACTTAATTCGTTCCGGTGGTCTGTTCTTAACCTGAATCTGTTCTTAACCTGAAGTACCACTTTAGCTAATGGGGCCTCCTGCTGCCGCCGCCACGCTGCCGGAGCACGATTTCTGTTCTCATCCTGAAGCAAAGTTCTTAACCTGAAGCACTATTTCTGGATTAGCGGAGTCTGTAACCTGAAGCGTATGTAACCTGAGGTACCACTGTATAGGGTTTGTGGCAAATACTTTTGATTAAGTAATTTGGTGGAGACTTCCATTGACAGGCAGCCCTACTGCTCCCAATCAGTTTCCCATCAGTAGTGATGATTAGCTGTCAGAGCTTAAGCTTCTGAGTGTATGCTTCAAACATGTTTCGGTTGATATAAATCCAGATAACATTTGTGGCACACATGTCATCTTTCCTACACATAGATTACCAGTGCATAGCAAAACAATTATGTCAAAGTTTTGCATGTATCTTTTGCCATGGTAATTCATTTGTACAACATGCAACTTCATCAGCATGTAGCACCATTATACAGCAACAAGATATGTTTTGAACTTTCATTTTAAAATTAAAGTTCTCGTTTGGTGTAGGAGGGAAGATTTAACGTGATGATTCTGTATGTGCTAGGCGGTTCCCACTTCATAGTTAAGTTCTGCATTTATACTCTTTGAACATCTGTGTATTAAATTAGATCTCTCGTAGCTACAAAATTAACAGATATTTATAAATTTCATTTATGTTTAAGTTAATATCTTAAATTCCCTTGATGTTGATGTTTTGTAACTAGACCAGGAATCACCAACTTTTTTTGTGGACATTTTGAGTTCTGGAAGCTGCGGTAACTTTAACCACCTATCTTTTCCCCTTTTAAGTTCTAGACTAGTTTTTCAAGCCTTTTCCTTTGGATCATTGCATTATGGAGCGTCACTTAATAGTGTTACACTTGGAAACTGTAGGGGGTGTGCGCTTGTTTTCGGGGATTCCCTAACTACCTTTCATATTTCCTCCTATTGTGCCTCACTTGTTGCATATTTTCCTACCATCTGCTTTCCTGAGATTTGACTGCCATTGTGCTGCTGCCTTCTGTAAACTTACAGAGACGCAATGCGGCTGCACTTGCAGGACAAACACTGATTGTTGCTAAGTGAATGGCTGTTTGTTGGATTAGGCTCTGAAATGTTTGCACTGGGCACTGTTCCTTTACATCCAGTGAGTCCTTTCAGTAGAAATCAGGGCCCTTGCCTTGTGGCCTGTAGCCCCTATACATCTGTCCCTCCTAGTTCCTAGTTTGGGTTGTTCTTATTTTTATTATGTATGTTGTGGCTTGTATATTGTAATGCTGTGTTGTGAACTGCCCTGAAATCTACAGATGTAGGGAATAATAATAATAATAATAATAATAATAATAATAATGATGTCTTAAGGTTTGCCAAAGTCTGTAGTCTGTTCCTACATCAAGCTAGCAAACAAACAAACACCAGCTCATTGGTTTCCGTTCCAGGCTTGTCAATAAAACCTGGGTCTTGATACACAACTTAATCCCGTGAGCCATAGTGGGCTATTATCTACTTCTTGCCTGTAGTCCTTTCTCCTGTGCTACATGAATACGGCAGAAAAGAGAGGAGCGCTGAGAAGGGAAAGGGCTTCTGTCTACTGCTGCATCAAAAGTGCTTTCCTGCTTTGAGTGTCATATCTTCTTCTTTTTATTGTCCTCATCATTCTCTTGGCTGTTTCTCCTCGATCATTGCAGGATTCAGGCCGTCATGATTTCTCCATATCAGGTCATTTAATTGCCTCAGTTTTTGCTTCATCAGTTGCCTGGACATGGTGGGGTGAGGACTTGGTCATGGGTTCTGTTTCCCTTTCAGGATAAGTTACCCAAAAGCCATGTAATTTTGAGAGTGTTCTCCTAGCACTGGGTTCTTGAGACAGAATCGGTGTTCCTTTGATGTAATTCCAACTCCACAGTCAGCTCAAGCAGGAAGACACTTAGCTGTGTAAGGGGCAGCCATCATTTAACATTGATACCAAGATCTCTTTCTTGGGTGTGGCTCAGAATTCCATAATTTCTATAGCAATGGTGGATCAGTCATATTTGTGGCAGGGCATGCTCTTGATCTGGTATTTTATCCAGGATACGAAGATGATCAGGAATGATTGGTAGCTTTGTGCAGCTCCTTTATTATGGACAGATCTTTATGTGGCAGGACTTACAGAGAATCTAAAACTGTATAGGCATGGGGGAATCTATTAAGATAGTCCATCGCCAGGTGGATCCCGGTGGTTTCCTGAAAGGTCTTGGGGTTTTCCTACTGCAAGCTAGAAGCTAGGGAAATCCTTGGCCTATTAAGAGCTTGTGTAATGAAGTGACAGGAATGATGACTAGAACAAAGATGCTAGGCTAGAGCAGACCTGACCAATTAATCACAGATAAGATCTGATCTTTGACCCTACTGCATAGCAGTGATTATGGTGAAGGTACTTCTTCTCAGTTGTTGCATCTGCCATGTGGCAGAGCTGTCCTAAGTGACTACAAGTGGCATGTTTTTAAGACAAAAATGTTCTTCAGATGTCAGACACAGACTCTAGGGACTTTCTCTGCATATATTGTCATGTCCCCCATTTTGGTTTACATAGGCAAAGATATACAATGCCGGTTTACAAGTCAAATGGTTATAGTTATATATCCTGGCCTCTAAATAGTGGAACTTAACCCCCACAGAGGTATGTGTGGCCTCCATGCCACTTATTTTTGAGTAGACCTTAAAAACCCATCTTTTTCAGAATCCTTTCTCCTAAACAACACCCATTCTCTTGTGTAGCTAGTGCTTCCATTGCTAGTTTTAGGCTGAAATTGTAAGCCACTTTGGGTCAGCCATATTCCAAAAAGTGGAAGGTGGCTGCCTATAAGTAAACAAACGTTTATGTAATGGAGCATTAAATGTAAAGGATATATCCTATTAAAAGTCAGGCTTTCATGGTGAAATATGCTTCATGAGGCAAACAATTGAAACCAATTATTTTTTGTTAGCTGGGCAAAATGTCTTAATTGGAGCTAAGTAGCAGTGAAGGGAAGATAATTGCTATCCTTCCTAAAATGCATCTGAAGCAGCATCTTGATCTTCAGCTGGCAAATACACAAGTGACTCGTACGCACAGACACTTTTGGTTAGCTGAGGTGGAATATTTGATAATTTCAGTGTACAAAGCATATCTATTTTCAGGAAGTTGCATTTTATTGCAGTGTTGTAATCCTTTTTATGGGGACTTAAACCAAGTTCTAGTTCAAGTGCCAAAGCTCTTTATAAATCCTTTCAGAAAACATTAGCTCCCTTAATACTTCACAAATCTGAATGATCACATTAGTAACGAGACAAACATAAGTGCAAAGTTTAAGGTATGCTACAGTTGTAGGTGGAACTGAATTTTATAATCCAGAATGTAGTTTCCCCCCTTGCTGTATAACTGAGAAGAGCATTTCACTATTTTCCCGTTCACAAATCATAACCACAAGGAAGAGTTATTCACCACTTAGGAATGAATGTCCATCTGTTAGTTATTATCTCTGCAGCACTGCAGCCCCTCAAAACTTAGTACTTGAAAGGATTCTTAAGTGCAGTGGACATCTCCTCTGTTCTAACTCCCCCTCCTGAAATGGGGTTTAACCTTCTGCATTATTAGTAGCAGTAGTACCAAAATTCATTTATATTTTGTGTTTTGGCAGTAATATTTCTGTCAAGGAATGCTCTAATAAAATGGGATGGTGCCCATAGCTGCTTCAGGAAGTACTTCCATTTTTCATTGTATGCTGATGTCAGCATGTTTTGTGGGGGGATTTCAAAGTCTGTGTTAAAAGAGTTTTTTTCCTCACGAAGTACAAATACATTGTTCCAGTGAAGATGCTTCAATGGAGCAGTCATGCTTTATCATAGGAGAGTAGACTCAACGGGATTTTCGTTTTTATCTTTAATCACAGACTACAAAAATGCCATTATTAAAACGAAAGGCTGTGCAGATGACATGCAGGAAGGACTGATCTTAGCAGGGAATTTCCTGCTGTCTGAGCTGGCAGGGATGACTGAGTTCACCACTAAGATAATAGCTGGAGGCTCCATTGGAGAGGTATACATTTATGATGGAGGGTTCTGTAGAATGCAGCAGTTTTCAGAAGGATTAGTTGGCTGCCTTTTTGGCCTTCTTGCAAGCCAGTAGGCTCTTTCGGAGCTTATGCGGCTTCTGGTCAGTCATAATGGACAAAATTAAAGCATTAAAATGCAGGCGCAAAGCTCTTGCCAATATTGTCTCTCTTCAGCATCATCGTTTTTCTTGGGGCACAACAGGTAAATCCATCCCATCATGTTGCACTGATGATACTTGTTCAGATGCTGTTTGAAATCCTTTAATATGGTAGTCATCATAGGATAATTCTAGAAAATACAATCTTTTTACACACACACAAACATAAATTGCAGGTGTGTACATCGCGATCTTATTTGTATGCCACTTTTCCATGCTAGAACCATGCTCGAAAAGAGTGGCTCACAACAACGCACAGAATAAATGCAACATTTCGTGATGACGCTTTAACAGTTACAAAGCAGAACACAAAGTCACGCTAATCTCAATAAGGGCAAACAAACATCTCATGTTAATAAACACTGAAATAATGCCTAACAGTAAAGTACAAAACATCCAAATAGCAGCAAAAACGATACCACCAACCCCAGTTGGCGGGAATGCTGAGCAGGGGGGGAGCTTGCCCTTGATGTTTCCAGCAGACTGTCCCCTGTATCAATACACTAGAGCCTCATATTCCTTACAATGGTATTATTGCTTAATTGGGAGGGTGGCGCTGTGGTCTAAACCACTGAGCCTCTTGGGCTTACCGATCAGAAGGTCAGCTGTTTGAATCCCCGTGACAGTGTGAGCTCCCATTGCTCGGTCCCAGCTCCTGCCAGCCTAGCAGTTCAAAAGCATGCCAGTGCAAGTAGATAAATAGGTACCGCTCTGGCGGGAAGGTAAACAGTGTTTCCGTGCGCTCTGGCTTCCGTCACCGTGTTCCGTTGTGCCAGAAGTGGTTTAGTCCTTCTGGCCACGTGACCCGGAAAGCTGTCTGTGGACAAACGCTGGCTCCCTCAGCCTGAAAGTTAGATGAGCATTGCAACCTATAGTTGCGTTTGACTGGACTTAACCATCCAGGGGTTCTTTACCTTATTATTATTATTGCTTATCATTAGACTTGTTATCTAAAGGTCTCCAGGCAATTAATACCCATTTTAAAACATGCAACAGCCACACAAGCAAAACAGCATAATCTCAGTCCATCAGTGTTTCATCTGGTGCTAAAACAATGTCACCAAAGGTGGACCACAAATTCCACTAAAAGAAGAGCTCCTGAATGTGTCACTAAGGAGACCACAGCCTCTGACTTGTGAGAAACTATCTTCACAATCGATCTATGTTAAAACCTCCCACCCAAAAATTTAAAATTCGGCTTTGTAATTCGGAATTTATGTGATGTGATGTGATGTGATGTGATGTGATGTGATGTGATGATGTGATGTGATGTGATTGGTTGGTTAATAAAAATTATTATTAAAAAAAAAAAAACCTCCCACCCTCAAGGATAAAATTCAAGAACGCCAAATACAGTTGCACCCTCTTAATCGCAAGCCCTGATGGACCACAGAGCAAGGGCCCATTTTGACCAGCACAGATGCCTGTAGGAATCCCACAAGCAATGACAGGAGCACCACTGCCTTCTCCCGCTGTTCTCCCCCAGTGACTGCCATTGAGAGGTGTGTTGCCTCTGATTCTGGAGCCAGTACACGGTCATCATTAACGGTAACCATTGATGAGTTAGGCTGAGAGAGTGCAACTTGTTCCAAGGACAGGTCCAAAAGTGGACTTAAGGTGGGGTGGGTGGGATTTGTTCCTTGAAATACATACTTTGGGTGAGGGAACAAGTTTGTTTTCTCCTGCTCTGGGGCGTAGGGCTTGAGCCAGCAGCTTGAAGTTACAAGAAAGGAGATTCTGACTAAACATAGGGGGGAAATTTCTGACAGTAAGAGGCGTTTGACAGTCTTCCATGGAAGGTTGTGGGCTCTGCTTCCCCTTGGAGGTTTTTAAGCAGAGGTTGGATGGCCATCTGTCATGGATGCTTTAGCTGAAATTTCTGCATTGCAGGGGGTTGGTCTAGATGGCCCTTGGGTCCCTTCCAACTCTACGATTCTATGAGTCTTTCTTTTGTTTATTACTGGTTTTATATGCGGTTTGTTTATGGGATTTTAAAAAATATTAAGTTGCTCTGTGCAAAAATGTGATCGATAGAAGTAATAAAATGGTAAAATATTGGTCTAACATTGTCAGTTACTTTGAAACACTTAATATTTGCAACAGTTTTTTGGGGAGGGGTGTTTGAAGTGCCGTGAAATGTGTTGATAGATTTTATAAATGGGACACTTTTTAATTTATGAAAGCAAAGCAAATAAAAGCTGTATTTGAGAGAGAGCAGAATACAGTTAACAGTTTGTTTCTTTTTATGGGGAGAGGGAAGCCAAGAAGGTAAAAGCAAAATAGAATAGTAAGTTCCAGAGATTTAGTTAGATCACTACAGGAAAAAACTATTCTCTAAAGATTCTTTTGCTCTTCGTACTGCACCAAAGTCTTGGCTATTTGCCAAAAACTGTCACTGTCTGTCAACCAATAAAGTTTACTTAAAGCTATGCCTTGGTGATCTAACACTTGAATAATTTACTATCATAAAATAGTTTAAAGTACAAATGTTTTATGCTATGCCAAGCTGGACGCTAAAGATGTTTTGTCTAAAACATGAGATAATGGAAAGTGTATTGTGGCATGTGAATGACTTTAGCCTTTTGGTGGTAGATGTTTGCTTAACCAGAAAAGAATGTGTTGAGACTCTTGCCAATAGAAAGGTATTGCCATATTTTGCATTAAAGTACTGTAAATAAATCAGTAAATATGGTTCTGTTCATGTGTTAATCCACAACTTATGAATGCATTCATTGAATAAGAAATGCAATATACTGTTATCCTTTTTAAAAGGTTTCAGAAAGAGCTGGTCATAATTACTCTGGGTTGAAAGAAACATGAAACCAAATATTTTCATGATGATTGAAGTTGGATTTGAGGGACATAACCATTGCTTAAAGTTGTTTCTTCCAGAACCAGAAAAAGCAAGTTGCAAATTTTTAACATCTTGACTTTTAAAAATCTGACTCCTGACACAGTGTTATGCAATAAGCAGTGAGGTATACCAGTAATATCAATTTAAAATATTGTGGTAACTGGTAAGGAATTCTACAATAGATAATACAGTTGGTGGAAGTCAAGGCTAGGCAACATACTGGGAATCTATTTCAGGCAAATACTTTATATCTAAACTTTTTATTCACTGGATTTAGTAGATTGGTGGCAATTGAGGAATTACAGCTCACTTTGCTTTTTTTGTAATAATTGCTGAGATAGTGTTGGCTATTAATAGCCTTAGGACTTGAAGTTTTCTCTGTTTTTTTTGCTCTTGAAATGTATAGGTCTGGAAGGACCGTAGCTTGCTTATGTAATAATTATTAGGAATAGGCACAGTTAAGTTCTTAGGATTACTTCAGTTATTTAGAAATGCTATGATGATGCCTGCTCCTGGCTTTGAATGCATCCTCCCAAGAAGGAGAAAGTCTCCCTTATATGGAATTGGCTGGCTGATCCAAGTCACATGGATGAGCCAGAACACATAAATAAAATGAGGTTTTCTTTTGGGAGTTTAGTTTGGAGCTGCTGGTGTGAGTAGCTGTGGATTATACTATGAAGTTATGACATTTTAAATTCTATTTCCACAAACAAATAGTTCTTAATTTCGTCAACAAATTTCTGGTTTTGTTTTGCTACATAATTCTGCCGTTCGGGGACTTTCAAAGTTTTGCACATGTATATTGATATAATTTTATCCTACCGTTGCCATCTAACTACGATAGTTCTTAATTAATGCCATGTACACTAAAGTCAGATAGAAGATACTCCGATTACTGGAATTATTATTATTATTATTTTTAACGGAAGCTTTTATATATCTCCCTCAAATGACTGAGCTATTTGTAAACATGTGTTCCCAACCTTTTTGAGCCCAGGACACATTTCTTCACAGAAGAAAAACTTGTAATGCCCAGATCACGCAAAATACCTGCATCCCATTAAAACAAATAAAATGGACGAAGAAGGCAGCACTCCCCAAAAGTGGTAACATCCCCCCATTTTTTTAAAATAGAAAATGGGAGAGCCTTGGTGGGCAGCAAAGAAGGGTATATGGGTGCCATGGCTGGGAAGCTGAAATTTTATATAGGCGGCAACCATTTTGCACAGGGAATCTGGTCCCTATGCACATCGGTGCAGCGTGCATTATCACCCCGTTATTCCCCGCCCCCATTATACACCCATTTTTCCAGGTCCCAAAGGACCCTCACGTTGCTTGGACGTGCCTAAAATAGTCGGATTATTTATTGGGTTTAATCAAGTCACTCTTGTTACTAGAGGAATATGAAAACGAAAGAATCATAAAAGGGTTGCAGGTGATATATATCCACATCACTTGCAAAACCAAAGTTTGATACATGCCTGCAGCCCAAGTTATATCGAAGAGCCTAAAAATGAACCATTTTTTTCTGTTTGTCTCGAGGCAGAGGCCAACAACCCATCAGAGAACTGCACATTGGTACGGAATGTTGAGCTGTGGGCATGCAATTGCTGCTTCAAATACTTGAATGAGCTTTGGGGGATTTCCAGTGGCAGCCTGGAATGTGCCTCCATGTGTACAGCACAGCATACAAACTGAATTACTAGAGAGAGAGAGTATATATAGATAAACAGTGGTTTCGATTGACTGGCTCAACAGGTTATGAAATGTTTGTTTTATTTCCAGGAAGCTGAAATTTGGTTCACATCTATCCCAGAGTACACTGATAGCCTCCCTTTCAGATTTTTATTTTCTAACTCTGTCCCTTAAAATGGTGGACCTAATCCTCAATGGCCATGGTACTTCAGCACTATCAAGGGAAGGGAAGTCTGAAATGGGAGGTTTTTATGACGTAATCAACAAAACGAGACCTGGAATTACTTATATAGGCCCGTATTCCAGCACAAACTAGCCACACTTTGGACACAATGTTGGATTGCAGAACTGCCCTTTCCTTGGATTTGATCAGTGCAGAGCGCAGCACGGCGTGGGTGCCATTGTGAAGCCAATCCTGCACCTCTGCGCTTCTCACATTGTCCCTCTTAGTAAATGGCAGCAGTCGGCAAAACAGCTGTGCCATACCGCCTTTACAGCCCTACCGGCCGCCACTGGATTTGGAGGAGGAGAGATTTGTCGCAATGCCTGTGAATAAGTTTGATTTGCTAACACTTTGAAATATCTGCTTGCCGATAAACTTTTGCAATTACTTTTTCAAAGGTACGAAGAACTGGATGTCAGCAAAGGCCTTCGAGACAATTTGAAAGGGAAGGTTGTCATAGAATACCCAACTTTGCATATTGTTTTGAAGAAATTCCAGATGGATATGGTGATTCTTGGCCACGGTAAGAAACTATACATTACAATGCAATAACATTTTATGCCAACAAGAATTAAGGCTCTTTATCCTGTTAAAACCAGGAATGAGCATCAGCTTGTAAATAATAAAGCATTTCCCCCTGTTGCAATTACTTGGATTATATATATTATCAGTGTATATGTTGATCCTTCCTAGTTAGGTTTTAAGTAATTTAATCACTGTAACACCGCTAGCATTTTATTTACCAGTTTATGATAATGTAAAATAGATCTAAAATGTGTCAAAACCATAGTTCCGAGTTTTTGAGCCATCAAATTTGTTAGGGTAGATAAACACATACCTGTTATATGAATAACCTTCCAGACAATTTTGCAGCATTGCGTTTGTTAACATCTGCAGCTGATTTGTTTTACCAGATCAAATGCCTGCTTGGTAACTGGAAGTTTGAAGGCACCAGGCAATGCTTGAATATCTCTTACAAATTATGGTTGGTTACATAACTGAGAAAAGTTTGCTTCCTCTACTGTGAAACCTTCAAAATACCTTGGAACAGAATTACTCCATTTCTTTTTCCTGGTCATATCCTATATTCCAGAGTCAGTATGCTAGGAAGAAATAATATTTTAATATTCTGCCACATAAATATGTTAATGTTTATATTGGACATGATGGCTATATGCTGCCTCCAGGCTCAGAGGAAGCATGGTCCAGATATCAGTTGCTAAGGCATAAAAGGGCTGTTTCATGCTTACGCAGCTTGTGGATTTCCCATAGCATCTGGTTGGCCACTGTGAGAAACAGGATTCTGAACTAGATGGGCCTTAAGCCTGATCTAGCAAGGCTCTCTTACATTCTTATGACAAATAAGGCATCTGCTTTGCAAACTGCACAGATCTGAACATGCCAAAGTGTTTTTGAGTTTTATAGCCTATACATTTGGCCGATATTTATGGGTAGAGTGGATGCGAAAGAAAAAGAACAAATAAATCTAAAAATGGTGGGGCTCTACATAACCTTACCTCTCTGGTCACTGCAGTAACTTTCCAGTGTGCATAGCAACATATTTTCCTACCATAGACTGACTCCATGTTATACCTAGATACCACACAGAAAAGGCTACCTGCAGACTCCCTTCCTCCTTTGGAAGGAATTTTGCTATGTTTTCAGGAGTTGAGGGTGCTGTACTTAATGGAAGATGAGCTTTTAAATGCAGCTGGAACAATGTTTTAATCCCTTGCATTGTATTTTAGTTGTATATCGTGGTATTTTAGTGTAGCTCTTTTCTGTGCGGCAGTTTTTTGTTCCTGATTTTTAATTGTGCGTGGTCTTTGCAATGGTTACGCTTTTGCAACCCATCGCGCAACTATTTGATGGAAGAGGAGGTTATAAATACAAATAATAATTACCGTAACAAATAACAAAGATCAAACACATCAGGGTAGGTTTCAGTGGTAAATGGCTACAGTGTTGCACTGGCAGTGCTGAGCAGGCACAGTAATGGCATACATCTTAACAAGGAAAGATGCCATTGTTGTCTTCTGGAATAAGTTTGGGGCTAAGGAAGTTTTTCTGATATCCTGCTTCGCTTGCTTATGTTTCTATGTATACATATGTTTTGTACATATAACCAGGGTGCAAGGTGGTTTACATCAAAATAACCTTTTTCAAAAAGCTTGCTCTATAAGTGTGTTCAGTAGTTTGAACAAAACAAAACAAAAAAAAAGAATTTAATCTAGCTGCTAATAGCATAATGTGGATCACACCTTTCCATTTGTAGAACATGTGAGCACTAGCTAATCTGAATGGGAAACTGAACCTTACAAAACCTTCTTGCTAAGAAGCTGCTGTGAATTGTGCCCGATTGGCCGTTTTTTAGCAAGCTTTTGCGTTCCCATGGTATTTTAGTTGCTGCCTATATAGAATTTTTCTATTTTATTTTACATAGATAGATAGTCAGTAGTAATGTGGATATAAGTGCAGGTCACAACCAAACACTTCTAGAATTGAAATATCTGGAATGTTTTTCCTTATGAGACCCAAAAACTTTGAAAACATTCATGAGCCTATTGAAACAGCAGATTCTTTCTGTTCTGGTCACCTTGGAAAGATCTTACAGTGGTCCTTGCAATGAGATCACTAAAATTCTGGATTTATATTCTTGTCTTTGAATAAGATTGATATTTCATTAGTTACATTTGTAACTGAGCAATATGTTAGAAAGTATGTGTTTTTCGCTGCATAAATTGACAAAGGACACAACCTGAATTTATATATGCATACACAATAAAATCCAGTGTTCTTAAAAAGCAGGCAGTGTTCTGCGATGGAAGCATAATAGAAAAAGGGCCCTAGCCTTCAAATTAAAAGTCATTTTAAATCAGATTGTTTACGCTGCTTTATGGGGTTAGTATGGTTGGTCTTGTTTAAAGAAAGTACAGGTGTTCGCCTTTCTGTCTGCAAGCATAGTCACAGCTAGAATTACTAAAGGATTATAGAAGTTATTACAAGACTTAGGGACAAAAACATTTCTTTCTATCTCAGTACTCAGTACATCTCTGGCATATAGATGTTAATTGATTATACACTAGATTTAATGTAGACAAAATGTGACCTCAGCCGTTTCTGGGTGAAGTGCTTTTATTTTCTTGTCTAGATTCCATTGAAGTTATACAGGTGCACACTTGATCCCAGTGTTACCCCTGCTGACCATCTGCTCAGCATTTCATGATTACGTAGCAATTCCCCATTAATTCCATCTTAGTAATATTTCTCTAATAAGAAGCCTTTGGCCTCATATGTACAAAAAGGCACATTGGTGTTAAGCAATGTTAGTTAAGTGAAAATACCCATAAGAAAGATTATGTGTATTTCCTTTGTAAAATGCATTTTATATGTGTGTATATATATATCTGTTGACCTCATCTGAGGAGGGGTTGGTAGGGCTGTGGCAGGAGAATTGGGGTGATCAGGAGGGTGGGAGAGGGAGGAGAAGGTTGACAAACACTTCAGGAAATGATGACATCAGTCAGTCCTGGAACTCTGGACAGCTTGAATCTGTAACATCTTCGCTTTGGCTCAGACTTGCAAACGCTATGTTGAAATGTTGAACTATACAAAAAGGCAACATGTATGCGTCATGTCTTAGTTTCGTTGAAAGGGTTCCAACATGAAACAAGACCAATTCTCAGTAGTGCTCTGTGTAAATCAGAAGTTTGAACGAAATGCCAAATTCTGTTCTGCCTGACATTACAAATGATGGCTGTCATGTTGAGTCTTTCCACCTAGTGATACATCACCACACCCTGTGTTCCACGAATCCAGTTTTGCTTTATAAATACGGTTTCTTATGAGAGCCAGTATGCTGAGAGTTCCAGACTAAGATTGGGAACACCCGGGTTCAGCTTTAAAGCTCACCGGGTGACCTTGACCCAGTTGCTATCTCTCAGTCTAACTTTTCTCACGGGGGGGGGGGGGAGAGATATGCTGCCTTTAGTCCTTGAAGGAGAGGCTAGATAATAGATACTGTAGTATTGTTCCATCAGTTAGGTGTTACATTGAATATAGAAAAAATTGCATCCTTTTGTCCTACGAAAGAAATGGTTAATAAAATAGAAAAGAAACTCACTCAGGAAAATTCCCTCTCAGTGGTCTTCCTGGCCAACGAATTGCTAGAAGCACTCACTTGAAACTGCACCCGTGGTCTCCGACAGCACATCAGAATGGAACATTTTTATTATATTTTCATATTGTGATTTGAATTGTTGTGAGCTGCCTTGTGCAGTAGAAAGGAAGGTATACATTTTTAAAAAAGAAAAAAGTCTATTGCTGTTCAGTTTTTGTGAGGCAGCAGTCACAGGCATCCCGTTTTAAAGAAAGTAGCTCTCTGAGCACCACTTGGAAGCCATCCTCATTGGAACTAGGGGCAAGAAAAAAGCCTGACTGCTCTGTCTAAGGGAGATGGAGAAGAATCAGCCAAGCAATCTTTCTTTTTTTTATAAATAATATTTATTACTTTTAAACCTTACAAAAAGGAGAAAAGAAAAGAAGAAAGAAAAGAAAAGCAAAAGCAAAAAAACAATACAGTACAATATATAATCAATACACAACACAACATTAACATAAACACATTAAACAAAACAAGAGCCAAAACAATTCAAAAAACACACATCATACCATCTCAATATCCAAATTAAGATGTTTAAAAATCCAATTTTCCGTTCTACTCACGGGTAGTTGTTTTGAGATCAAATTGTCCACAGGAAAAAGTCAGCGCTCTCCGGCAACAGCAATGCGGCTTCACTCCGTGAAAGAAGCAGTCAATTCGAAGCGCCGCGCCACTCACCCCACGTCGCTCCAGATCCCCGAAACCGGGTTTCCCCGCGAGTAGGGGAGGCGCAAAAGGTGCCAGCCGAATCCCATGTTCACAGGATTCTCCCGCCTGTGATTTTTGGTGGGTCCCCGCCTTCGCCGTGGCGGCCAGACCCTATTTCCACGAAGCAAATTCCTCCCGATCAGAGGAGTTCAGCCATTACCGGAGGCGCTAACCCGGAAGTCGCAATCTTTAACCCTTACACAGCCCTCCTACACTTCCAAACACTCCTCAGAGATTGCAAGCCTATGTGGCTGCACCTCCAGAACTAGAAGCCCAGGTCTAGTCAATAAACACAAAGCTCAGGCAAGAAGTCCAACCCCAGTCCTTCTTGTATTCTGATTAGGGATTGGGTTAGGAGTAACTCCATGAACAATTGGTAGAACTTCGACCTATTAATGATGAACATCTTATAACCCTTTTAAATGTGTTTGGGGGGGAGGAGGTTTATTGGTTTGTGGGATTATTTTTTTTGTTCTTGCTTTTTATTGTGTATTTTGTGGTTTTATATTGCGTTTTTATATTGTGAACCACACCTGAGACCTACAGTTGAAGGGCACTATACAATTTATAAATGAATGAATGAATGAATGAATGATAGTTACTTTGCAAGTAACTATGTACTGTGGAAATGTGCATTTATTATTCATTTATTCCACCTATTTTTATACCACTTAATCACCAAAGTTTGTAAGTGGTATAAATAAAAATACAAAAAAAGCATATAGTAGATAAGAATCCATTTAAATCGAAGAGAATAATAGGAAACATTTTTGGAGGGTGCAAAACCAGGGCTGGGGTTAGCTTAGTAAATATATAAATATTGTATTTTTTCCCCTTCTCTCCTTTAGATGCCAGTAAATCCAACCGGGAAAACTCATCTGAGGAAGAAGGGGAAATCCATGATAGTTCCTGACAAAGCAAAGTCGGATGTGGAGTTGGAGCAACTTGCTTTGCACCTGACTCGTTGAACATATATTCAGCAAATTAGTTTTGAGCATTGCTTTTTATTAATAGTATCCAAAACCTACAGCTATTAAAAAGCACTGCAATCTGTTAATGTATGTTCTACATTATGTTCTAATCTATGTTTATAGATTAAGGTGCCTAGCTCTAGCTTTCTTTTGTGAAAATCACTGATGTAACAATTACAATTTTACAGGACTCTGTTGCCAATCTTTGTACGCTTGGCTGTTTTTTCCACTTATTGAAGTAGAAAGCTATAAATACTTTTAATAAAACACCTAACTCTCCTTTCACCAGTACAAATATCTGGGTGTGGTAAAGAACATGAAACAGAAGCACCAACTCATAAAAAAAGTATTTGTTGGAATAAATCCCTGCTTTAATATATTGATCTGGATTGCATATAACATTAAGCCAAGCAACAGCTTGGGGTGAGTTTGTAGGCTCCTAGAGAGATTGCAGCCACTTGATCCTTCCCAGTTGTTCTGCTGCTACACTGTGCTTAGACATCATTAGGCTTAACATGTCATCCCAATCTGGGCTTCCAGTTTAGTTCTTTCCAAACCAATCATGAGCTGAAGCCAAGGTTTGGTCTATGTTCTAAGGCTCATGGTTTGCAAAGGAGAGCTAAACCACAAACCTGGATTTGGATAACATACTGAGGCTTAGTGCAGTGCAACAGCAGAATGACCAGGGAGAAGCAAAGCTCCTCTGATCTCCTCGAGCATGCATGCTCACATGCTCATTCTAAGCCAGTCCTTTTTGTGATGCACGAACCAGGCCATTGTTAGAAAGAATTGTGCAAGGTTCAGCCTAGGGCACATCTCGGTAAAAGAATTTCAGGTAGCTTGGCATGGCGAGGCCACTGAGCCCTTAGTGGCTGTCAATCCATGTAGAAGTCACAGAACTAGATGGACCAGTGGTCTGACTCAGTGCTAAGCTACCTTAAAATGTGTGCGTAATTGATTTAGCTTTTAAAAAAACAATGCAGGCAATGCAAATATTAAGGAGAGATTAGTGTTGAATTTCCCTTAGTGAGTTTATTGAAAACAAGAAAATGAGAAAAAGCCAGGGCATCCAGGACTCAGCTACATTCGCAAAGAAAAAACTTTTTATGCATTGTTTATACATTCTAACACTGTGACACAAGATGGCGCTGTGGAGTTCCATTTTTGCTAACCCAATTTCTCATACAAAGTTCGCAACCCATTTAACTGAAATGCTTCTTTTATGGGTCTAGATCCAGCCCTACTCTAACATGCTACTGAAAGATTTTACCACATAGTGAGCCAAATCTGTTGCTCATGATGCAGCAGAAGTGGGTGGAATCTAGAAAAAATTTGCCCCATCATGTGCTTAGAAGAGCACCTGTCTGGCAAGATGCTGTTATCACGGACCAAACTGGCAAGAACTTACCTTAATGTAACTGATGACGTGGAGTCGGGTTCATAGGTAATTCAAACAAGCTTTTGATATCGGGAAGACCCTTTAGGTTGATTGCCCTTCTTTTTACATTGTAAGTGGTCTCTTCCTGTGCTGTGTGCATATGTGGTAAGATCACAGCACAACTAGCTTTTATAAGGTGGTGAACAGCAATCTTTTTGTTTCTCTCTTGATTTATACAAAGCACCTGAAGGATCAGCTGCTGTGTGCCCTCAAAATAACACTCCAGAGTGGATTGGTGATAACAGTTGAAACGTGAAGTGAGATCAGTATCTGAAGTCAGTCTTACTTTGGCTGGGTTATGCCCATCAACAGCCTTAATGGTTCATTAAGACTTCAGTTTCTGCCCATGCTAATTTGTGGTTCTGAAATGAGCTAATTTATTAGATAGAAGCCAAACAGTATATGCATTTGAAGCTGTTCAGTATAATATTTGGCCATGGATAATCGCCTGAACTTGAATATTGTTAGCTACCTGATCCATCGGGCTGACCTTTTGCCTCCTTTTATGCTATAAGGAAGCTGTAGACAGTGGTGTGCCATAACTGCATCATAGACTGCATAAATAGACCAGGTGGGTCGGGATGGACTTCAGTTTAAATAAGAAAACACAACAAAATCAAGCAGTTGACAGATTTTGGATGAGTACCCTAAAAGTCTTGACAACTTGTTCAACTGCACTGCGCAATGATCTCCCTGAGGAAATGGTGAGCATCTCATTAACTGAGTCATTTAAAGCTAGATTGGACAAAGCACTGGAAAAAGTGCTGCGGCAATAGCAACTTCAGCTCATGTGTTGGTACATTTGCAGCTTCAAAGTACTAAATAAACATTAGCTCATTGTCCTCGCATGAAAGAGTGAGTAAGTATTTATTACAATGACTTTATTGTCTTTGTTTTACCAAAAAAAAACACAACCCACAGGAGGTGGGGCGGTGTAGCAAACCCCATAATTGTTTCAGGGCACATAGAAAATTGGTGCAATACCAAAGCGACAGCCAAACAATTCATGTGGTCTGTTTACTAGATTAACTGCCTGTTCAGAGGACCCCAAGGAATAGTCTATGAGAAGCTGACTTATACTGAGAGAGACCAACAGCCTGGCTGGCCAAGAACTCTCTGCAACTGACTGCAGATAGCTGCCCAAGATTTTAACTAGTAGTCTTTCCTAGTGGGGGGCGCTAGCAGGACAGGGAAAGAAGATTGAAATTGTGACTCTGTCTCAAGCCTACTTCCTGAACAAGTGAATAAATTGATACATCTGTTCCTGAAAACTACTTTTTTATTGACAATGAGAAAAGAATTAATGGTCTGATATAAATTGGCTGAAAATTGGGTCACAAAATTATATCTCCTCATGTAACATCTGCCTTAACCTATAGCATGATCTGTTTTATACTTGGGAGCAAAATAATACAGTGGTACCTTGGTTCTCAAAATTAATCTGTTCCAGAAATCTGTTCCAAAACCAAAGTGTTCCAAAACCAAGGTGCGCTTTCCCATAGAAAGTATTGCAAAATGGATTAATCCGTTCAAGACTTTTAAAAACAACCTCTAAAACAGCAATTTAACATGAATTTTACTATCTAACAAGAGCATTGAGCCATAAAATGAAAACAATAAAAAATTTACTGCAGTCACACTATCTATCAGTAGCTGAACTGGATTCCACACAAAAACAAAACAAAAAAAGAGCCACAAAAACACAAAACAAATAGCAAAAACAGACAGACCTCATCGTAACACTCAAAATGGAAGTGTGGCACTCAAATCGGAACCATAACATTCAAAATGGAGCACGTTCGGCTTCTGAAAAAAGTTTGCAAACCGGAACACTTACTTCCGGGTTTGCATTGTTTGGGTTCCAAGTTGTTTGAGTACCAAGGCATTTGAGAACCAAGGTACCATTGTATGTTACATATCAATAAGGACTGGCACTGCGGCTGGATATAGATTCAGTCGTGTAGGTCCACGACTGTAGTGATAAAGGCATAGGAGGCATAGGCAGAACTTGCAGAAGGGCTAGTAGGTGGGGCTTAGTCATATTCTGCACATGCCCACCCAAACAAAATGTCTTACCAGGCTATGAAAAATCCACATTTAAAGGGTGAGCCACACCTGGCAAGTTGCCAGGTGTGACTCAGCAACCTTTTAAAACAAAATGGATTCGCAACACCCTGTTTGCTTTTCCAGCTTCCTGAATGTGCACAAAGAGGCAATTCTAAAAACACTTCTACGTGAATCTGTATTGCACCCTTCCAGGAAAAGGTGTGGCTGGTTGTAAGCAATGACAGCTACAGCAGAACAGAAGGGAATGTGGGAACTGATGAACAATTCCTGAAGTCTGCTCTATAGTGAACCACTGGAGCTTGAGATGGGACGGGCGTTTGTCCGTAGACAGCTTTTCAGAGTCATGTGGCCAGCATGACTAAACCGCTTCTGGTGCAACGTAACACCGTGACGGAAACCAGAGTGCACGGAAACGCCGTTTACCCTCCTGCCACAGCGGTACCTATTTATCTACTTGCACTGGCATGCTTTTGAAGTGCCAGATTGGCAGGCAGGGGCAGAGCAAGGTGGGTGCGGACCATCCTGGTGTCATCTCTGAGGGGGGTGACATTTGGTGCGCCTTCCCTGAGTTGTTGGGGGAAGGGGGGAGCTGCGCCCTTCCCCCTTCATTTTTGACAGGCCTGCGCTCCCGGGCTTGGGAGTCCAACTAGATTTCGATGGGGGTGGGGGGGAGGTATGACAACAAATTTTCTGCACCGGGTACCATCTGACCTTACTACACCACTGTTGGCAGGAGCTGGGACAGAGCAACGGGAGCTCACCCTGTCTCGTGGATTCAAACCGCCGACTTTCTGATCGGCAAGCCCAAGAGGCTCAGTGGTTTAGACCACAACGCCACCCGCATCCCTACATGACAATGGTACACAGTGCTTTCTGGTACAATATATTACTACCACCACCTTCTGAAAACAACCAACATGCCCTAGGTATTTGGCAAGCATAATCACTGGAAGCTAAATTTTCAAATGCAGTTGGGAATATGGATGAATAGGCATGGAAAGGATGCTTTAAAAGGCAATATACTCTTGAGTCTTTTTAAATGCTCCAGATAGCCTTCAGGAATGTTTCAGGTGCTTCCTTGTCATAGGAAAGGTCTGCGAGATTTAACACTTGGTGCTGCTGCCTCTGACTGGTTTTGCCTCCTTCTCTCAACTGCATATAATGGCAAAAGTAAGGGAAGCTTTAGCATCCAAAGCATCTATTTTCAGTTCTTCAAGCCACTTGCAACTTAATAAATCCCACTAGTTGCATTGGGATTTGCAAGTAATTTCAGAAATAGAGCTTTATTTGTGTAGCATTTTCCTTCTGCCTCTGCTGCTTCTAATGACAAGTATAAGGTATATTAGTATAAGAGACACTCTTTTTCAACATATTTTTAGTTTATAGAAGTCCTCGACTTGCAAGAAGATAGACACAGAAAAAAATTATAGTCAGTAGTGCTACCCAATTCAAGCTGTGTTTGCTTACAAACATTGCATTCTGCCCTTTTAAGTTCCAAGCTATTTCCCGGAAAACTTTTTTTTAAAACCCCCCCCAAAACATTAATTTGTATTTGTGTGGTTGCTATGGAATTTGGGTGAACTGTATGCAGATGCAGATTGTGTTAATAAGAAATAAAAAAGAACTGTGTACTCTAGTGAACAAAGATTAGTCTGTGTTTGTATTAGAATGTTGCTATGGCAGAGCATATGGTTTTATTTCGTGGACGTTTGCAGTGAAATGGAAGGAAATCGGATGCATGCAAGACAAACAAACAAGAAATTGCAACAAATACAGCTCCACATACATGCACAAGTTGAATGGGTAGTCAGAGATGAGAAAGGTAAGGTAATTGCCGGACATGTTAGGTAGACTTCTTTCCTGCCAAGCTGTATTGTTTGGTAGGAAGCCAACACTCCTACTCTCATAGAATCGTAGAGTTGGAAAGGATCCCAAGGATCATCTAGTCCAACCCCTTGCAATGAAGGAATCTCTTAATGCCATAAACTTAATGCTATGTTCTTTTCTCTGTGGAGACAGTATTGCATACCGTATTTTTTGCTCTATAAGACGCACCAGACCACAAGACGCACCTAGTTTTGGGAGGAGGAAAACAAGGAAAAAAAATATTCTGAATCTCAGAAGCCAGAACAACAAGAGGGATCGCTGTGTGGCGAAAGCAGCCATCCCTCTTGCTGCGCAGCCTGCATTCGCTCCATAAGATGCACACACATTTCCCCTTACTTTTTAGGAGGGAAAAAGTGAGTCTTATAGAGCAAAAAATACGGTAATCATTCTTTTTTAAAAAGGAATCTCAAGTAGATCATGCATGACAGATGGCCATCCAACCTCTGCTTAAAAACCTCCAAGGAAAGAGTCTACCACCTCTCCTGGCAGTGGAAGACCTTAGGGGCTCAAATTTCAGCGGCGACCAGCATGTGTAATGCCAAAATACGGTGCCCCACTGCCTCTCGTACTCCATTCTAAATAATAGTTGCAGCATCCTCTGTGGTGCCTCCAAGACCCAGCATGACCAAAGTGGTCGTGCTCCCCTAAATCCACCTCTGCTTGTGGGAGTCAGAAAGTTCTTCCTGGTGTTTATTGGAATGTCCTTTCTTATAAATTGAAGCCATTGGTTCAAGTCCTACCCTCCGGAGCAGGAGAAAACTAGCTTGCTCCATGCTCCCTGCAGAAGCCCTTAAGATACTTGGCTATCATACTTCCTCTCAGTCTCCTCTTTTCCAGGCTAAACATACCCAATTTGTTCCTCATAAGGCTTAGTTTCCAGGCCCTTGATCATCTTGGCTGCCCTTCTCTGCACACGTTCCAGCTTGCCAATCTTAAATTGTGGAGCCCAGAACTGCACACGGGACTCCACGTGTGGTCTGACTACTACATCCCTTGATTGGCACACCTTTTGGATGTGGAAAGGATGACACAAATAAGATAGCTGTGGTGGTTAGTGGGGCCAGAGAGGAAGCAGGTATTTCTAGTTCGGAGGAAAAGCGAAACACTCAGGTATTGTTCTTAGGTGTGTTTTGAAAGATATTGAGATAAGGGGGTGCAGTTGCGGGGAGCTTGGTGGGATTTTGGCAGGTTAGGGTACAGCCTGGGGTTTACTTTGGGGGGTTTTTTTGGTAGATAAGACCAGAGAGAGGGGGCTAGTCAGATCAAAGGGAGGTATAGGAAGCGGCCTATTGGTCCATCTAACTCAGGGCTATCTGCAATCACTGGCAATGACTTTCCAGAGTTTCAGACAGGACATTCTTAGTCCTACTTGGAGATACCTGGGACTGATTCTGAGACCTTCAGTATGCAAAGCAGATGCTCTATCACTGAGCTCTGGCCCTTCCCCTGAAGTTGGATCAGAGTGTGAGGGTGGGAGGGGATCACTTCTTAAAATAATTTTTTTTCTTTAAAAACCTTAATCTGAAGTTGAGGCAAAAGTCCCAACTGGGCAGATAAAATATCTTAATGGTTGCCAACCCTAACCGGCAGATAGCAGCATTGTACAGTGTCCCCACCCCACCCCCCGTATCAAGACAACTGCTTTCAGAGAATGCAAGCAATGAACTTGATGTTGCCTCTAATAATTTTTCACAGATGTTATGTGCAATATCTTGAATGAGCATCTTTCCTGCCCTCCCCCCTCTGCTCAAGCCCTTTCTCCTATACTACAATACTGGGGGTTTTCTATGGGTTCTACCAAGCTGGGATGCTGGCCAGGAGCTTCCTGATGCTTCAGAAATGCAGGAAGGTGAAAGGCTTGGCTCAGGGACTTGTATGGCTTCCCAGCGTTGGCTAGCCTCCAAATTCCCATCTACCCTGCTGTGCAAATTCCATGGAACAATGTTCAGGGGCAGGCGGAGTTCCCCTGGCCTGCCTACCTATAACCTTGTCTGCCCTCTGTTTAGAAGGATGGCTGATTGACTGTCTGCTTTTGAGGCCTTGACGCAAAGAGGATTAGCAGTCAGCCAGGCCTTGATTTTAAAATATTTTTTAAAAATCAGATCACCGTGTTGCTTCCTTTTTCTTTTACCAGTAAGCATGATTATGATTGTGCCTTTTTGCAGTCTTTTGGACTGTGCCTCTCTGTGGCGTTTATGATGAGAGCGGAAGATAAAACGAGCCCCGCCGCTAACTTGGACTCTTCTTGGCAATCCTGGTCTTCATACAAATCCAGAGATTTATAACGCTGACAAACTGCATTAGCTGCCTCGTGAGCAAATTGGATGGGACTTTGCTTGGCTTTCCGTGGGGTTTTTGTTTGTTTGTTTCATACCATCGTGGCTTCTTTGGTTCTGAGCAGCTCAGGACTCTCCTGTGTGTGCACAGTTACAAAACACTTGCTGGGGTTACGGAAGGGTGATTAAGCAAACCTTGTTGATTTGGGGGGTTGGAATGGGGATATCTTCTTGATATGGAAATTGGCCTGAAGCGTTAAAAGAACAGGCTTTATTTCTGGTGGCGCCTATTTTGTAGAATGATACCCCTTATCCCAGAGATCAAGTGGGCACAGGTTGTTGGGTGCTTCGGCCATAAATTGAAAGGATACCTCTTCATGCAGACTTTGCCTGATTATTGTTACCTGCTCCTGGCATTTCTGGGTGTTATTGCAACTAATGTTATGCTGTTTTACAGATAGTGTTTTTATTGTTTGGTGTGGGTTTGTTGGTTATTCTATGTGGACTTTTTTTTAATCAAAGGTAAGGTAAAGGTAAAGGGACCCCTGACCATTAGGTCCAGTCGTGACCGACACTGGGGTTGTGGCACTCATCTCGCTTTATTGGCCGAGGGAGCTGGTGTACAGCTTCCAGACCATGTGGCCAGCATGACTAAGGCGCTTCTGGCGAACCAGAGCAGCGCACGGAAACGCCGTTTACCTTCCCGCCAGAGCGGTACCTATTTATCTACTTGCACTTGGACGTGCTTTCAAACTGCTAGGTGGGCAGGAGCAGGGACTGAGCAACCGGAGCTCACCCCGTCGCGGGGATTCAAACTGCCGACCTTCTGGTCGGCAAGTCCTAGGCTCTGTGGTTTAACCCACAGCGCCACCCGCGTCCCTATCAAAGGTAGTGTACCAATAATTTTCATAAATATATTTTTATGATGATGATGGGAGTACTGATTCAGGAGAGTGGAGGAAACAACTGCCTCTAGCAGCCATTCCCAACTTGCTGCCTCCAAGTCGATGCCTCAAATTTCAACTCCTTTCAGCTTCTGCTAGCACAGCGGATTGCCTTGGCAGGGAAGAAACATTTTCCTTGCACTCATTTCCATCACTTGGATTTGTGTTGCTACTCTCTTTTGAGGGGAAGGCAGTCGGCAAGGCATAGCAGTTTGACTTCTGTATTCGGGGTCAAGAACAATCCAAAAGCACAAACTTTAAGGTTGGGAAACCCATTGCTACTGTCCTTGCTACATGCCTGCTTGCCTAATTATGCTTTGGACATGCCACCAGGTTGCTATAAAAACCCAAATAGAAAAGGAATTCAAAAGCCAGGCACTTGAGTTTCCCAGGTGGTTTGTGTGACTAATTCGGTCAGTGTACAAACACAAACACAAACACACACAAAATCCTATGCAGTCTGTTGCTGTACAGCCCCTTTATGTGTGATGCTTCTTTGGTCTCCTCTCACCTTGTCTCCAATGGAATGTGTGATGCAGGGGCTGTAGCACACACTTTGCACCAGTGATTCCTACACGGTGGGGTAAGACCCACTTTTGGCACAAATGACCTTTAGACTAGTCATTAAGCCAAACCTGGTTGTCCATGCAGAGTTCCACCAGATTCTGACTTCATCAACCCCTTGACGAGCCTATAAAGTTGTCAACGACTGGACTCAAAATGTCAGGAATGTAAATGTCATAAAGCTCAGAAATCCTAATACATACTCAGCATTTATTAATCATCAGTCACCATTACTAGGAATCGTACCTCCTTACTAGGTTCAACTGGCTTTGGTCCTCCACGTTGATTTCTTCCTACATCTGTATTGCAGATGCCACCAATCCTTGCTGTTCCCAGAAATCATCTGATTGTGTGGAGTACTGCCAGTTTCAATTCTGTTTCTCCAACACTTCCAATGAATTAGAGCATTTCTCATCTTTTTCATTCATTTCCGAAGCGGCTTCCCTACCATATGCCATATTGTTCAATTGGTGAGAGTTCGATTGCCCGCATTTATAATTATCCTCATCGTTTTAAATTTCTCAAGACACCTTTCTCAGGACGTCTCAGAGCAACTATAAGATATACAAATATAAGATATACAGGATTTAAAACAAGGTGATAAAAACACCAGTCATCCATATAGTAATAAATTCACCCCAGCTCATAGAAAATGAATGCAGATAACATCAGCAGAAATAGCAACAGCATCATAGCTCATCGGATGCCTGAGAGTAGACTTCTCACCCATGATTTCTATAAACACGGGTGCCTTATGGCTTCCCCTACTGCCAGTAGAAATATAATGTTAGTATTTGCTCAAAGCAACACATAGTATATTGGGGAGCTAAGGCCTGGTAACCGCTCCCTAATATATTTTGGATGATGGCAATGTTGCCAGTTGGTGCCCTCATTCTAATGCATAATGTGCAGCTAGGTACATCAGATACAGACAACTCCTTTGTAGAAACTCCCTCAATTCTAGGCC